ACCTTCGGACGTCGCAACCTTCGGACGTCGCAACCTTCCGGATGGACGCAACCTTCGGACCTCTGGACGTCCGTCCTTCGGACCACTCCTCCTACCCTATCCTGCTTTGGACTCTGTCCCTTGCAGCCTATCTTCTATGTGTTTCCATCTAGGGAGCTTACCTTCGGATCTAATGCAGCGGGTGAAACTCTTCCAGAGTTTCCTATACTCATCCGAAAGTTTCCCGCGCTCATCCGGAAGTCCTCCAGCACTCAACCAGAGTAGCCAGCCTCCGGAAGTCCTTCGGACTTCGTCGGATTCCATCTGGACTTCATTCTGAAATTAAGGGCACGTACTCGGGTAAGGGGCACAGCGCATGAGCTGAGGCCAAGCCCTTCGGATCCGTCTACCCTTGAGCTACGGTCTTAACAGATGAGGGCGGTGAAGTAACCGAATACTATCCTGACCCTCCACTTGCCTATCAGGATGGCTACACCTTTTTGAACCTATTTGACGCTGACGAAAATAGTGTGTATCGCAAGAACAACCTTTACTATCCATTTAGTGGTCGAAGAGATTGGCAAGTTGCGGCATGGCTGCTTCGTTCGGGCCTGAGCATGGGCAAGATCGATTCCTTCCTATCGCTTGAAATGGTGAGTGTCCGAACTTCATACTGGTTACCATTCCATAACTGTTGGACTTTCTAGATCAAAGAATTACCTTTGTCATTCTCCTCAGCTAAAGAACTACGGGGTCGAGCTGAAATGCTCCCCAGTGGTCCGCGTTGGATGTCCAAAGTAATACCCACATCGCATGCAACAAAGTCACCGGTAGTTTTATATTGGCGCGACCCTCTAGAATGCATCGCCAGCATCTTCAACAACCCCATATTTCACAATCGTATTGATTCCAGGCCTCGCAAGGTGTACACTACTGCAGAGAAGCGGTGTCGTGTATATACTGAATGGATGACGGGAAATGATGCTTGGGATATGCAGGTGCGTACCATGTTGACTTTCGGTGTCTCTGGCTTATTTATCCTTGAAGGCGGCTATACCTAGTGGTGCGACCCTCCTCGGTACCATCCTATCCTCCGACAAGACGAACATCACTGCCTTAACAGGCGATCGCGTTGCTCACCCACTTCTTATAAGCCTTGCAAACATACATATGAATATACGTCTAAAATCGTCTTCGAGTGCTTTCGTTCTCACCGCTCTACTACCGGTCCCGAAGTTCGTGCATAAGAAGAAACGAATGAAGGGTGTATTGGAGGATCGCCTCATACATGAATGTTTGGACATCGTTCTTGAACCTCTGAAACAGGCAGCTCGACATGGCGTCATGCTATCGGATCCCATTGGCAACAGTCGTTATTGCTTCACCCCGCTTGCCAGTTATATTGCTGACACCCCTGAAGCCATGATGTTAGCAACGGTCGGTGGCAAAACATCGCCAGTGACCATGGCAATGTATAAGCAGTTCGGGGATGCCTTCCAGCATGAACCTCGGACGAAATCCACGACTCTTGCGCAGCTTACAGTTGTGCGTTCACGCGCTGATCCCCTCGATATCGAGGCCTTCTTCCGCGAGGCACAGAAGTTCCGCCTGAATGGGGTTGCTGAGCCGTTCTTTCGAGACTGGATACTCGCGGAACCATCTCATTTCTTTACACCGGAAGACCTTCACCACATTCATAAAGAATTCTGGGACCATGACGCGCAATGGCTCATTTGTGCAGTCGGAGAGTCCGAGATTGATTTCCGGTTTTCTGTTTTGCAGCCGATCACTGGTTATCAGCACTTCCACGGAGGCATTTCGAAACTGAAACAGGTTACCGGTCGTTGTCATCGTGATGTTCAACGATACATCATTGCAGTATGTGCGGACGCAGCTCCTGGTGTTCTCACTGCCGTACGCGCACTCATGCAGTTCCGTTATCGTGTGCAGTCACCACGCATCGACGACGATGATATCAGGCGCATATCAGGCGCATTGGACGAGTTTCATTCAAACAAGGATTCAATTATCGCTGCGGGAGTTCGCCGAGGGAAGGGTAATAGACCTATTGCCAATTGGCATATACCCAAGTTGGAGTTAATGCAGAACATTGTTCCAAGCATTCGCAACTCTGGGGTCATCAGACAGTGGTCTGCGGATGTCACAGAACATGCGCATGTGACTGAAATCAAAGACCCTGCAAGGGCAAGCAACAATCACAACTACGATCCTCAGATATGTCGACACTTGGACCGTGCCGAAAAGTGTCAGCGCTTTGAGCTCGCCACTAGCCTTTTGGATGCAAAACAGACTACTGAGCAGCTGGAGAACATCAACATCGATGCTGACGCTGACGATGCCGATGCCGATGCTGACACTCCAATCGAACTTTCCGCGGTGCAGGAACTCCCACGTCGTCCTGTCATCAGCTATTTTGCCATTGCTAGGGCATTGCAGTACAGACCCCTGGGTTCCGTACCTCTTCCATTACGTTCATTTGTCGTCGGCCGCACTGCATTTCATATTGCATACGATGCGTCCATTAGGAAGATCTCTATCGACGACGTCGCCATCAAATTTTCCCTTCCAGATCTGCGACCAGCTATCGCTGATTTCATTCAGCGTGAGGCGACTTGTGGAGACCAACACATCCATGCAATAGGCGGTCCAAGAAGAGGGGCACATACGGCTATCCTTCCTTTTGACAGGGTTCAAGTCTGGTTCAAAGTTCGCTTACAAGAAACAGAATTTCACGATGCTCACACTATCAGACCAGCTCAAACACTAAATTGTGCCCCACCCTGCCACCCCTGGAATTTAGGTCGTTATGACACAGCTATCGTTCAAACTAGTGCGGGCTTTTCATGGCCTAGTAGTGGACTTTCAGGTGTGAATTCTGTCTTGTGTCACAATACTTGTCTCAGCCTCAACTGTACCCTGTATAGGTCACACTGTCGCCCAGATCAGACTGATCATGCGGCCTATTGGTAAGAGCGGCACATCATGGTCATGGAAAGACCAATTTCTCAGCTACGTGCAACGCTTCGATATCTCGCATGATCGTGATGCAACTACGCAACTTCATGTACTCAAACGCTCAAAACGCTCAAATGGTGTTCGGATGGGGACGTGATTCCGCTCTCTCAACTAAGGGCGCCTATAAATCTTGTGTTCCTCGCTTTGGAGCCACTGCAGATAAACGCCTCACTGTTTATAATAGCATGGAGCATGCCGCGGAGTTTTGGTTGAATGAGTATTGGGAAAAACACACATTCTTCACCCTATCAGCATAGTATTTGATTCGAGATAAGACCATTTTGTGTGCTATCATTTCTTTAACTTTCATATGTATGCTAGCATGGTTTTTTCGGAGTTCTATGCCTCGTTATGCCAACTGCGAGACACGCCAGAACAATCGACCTAGGGAAAAACTGTCATCCTTCTTGACAGCTTCCCCCCATCCATAATATAAAAGTGATGGATGAACTCACAACTTCTGAACTCAACCGCTTGATACTCCATGAGCCTGGCGTTTACCAACAAAGACGAGCTCAGCCATACCTTATCTCTTATATTCCAGTCATGCACCGTGAAGTCCCCAAAGCGGAGGATCTTGTGTTTCCGTTAAGCAAGATACCCCCCGACGTCAGCTCGATGATCTGGAAGCTTTTTCTCTGGCTCCAGATGGAGCTCCCAGGGTGCCCGCTATATAACACTCAAAAGCGTCGATGGAATTGGCCCCTTCCAACAATGCATGGACAGGGACGAACTACGAAAAAATGAGCGAGGAGGAACTGAGAGTGGCACAAAAGAGAAGTCGGGAGAATGGGTGTTGATCGATGAAACGAACAAAACCGAGTTACTAGCCTCTGGGGGGCTGGATGCACCGCTGGCATCTACAAGTGAAGCTACCGAGAGCATGCTGCCATTCGCTGATGCAGACCTTTTGACGGATGAAGGATCGAAGTCAGACGACGGGGAGGACAGGGACTTGGACTGCCTGTCTTCCTCAGCTGTAGCCTCGGAGGGTCCATTAACGACAGAACGCATCTTCTCATCATTCTTCAATGTTGTTTCTACGGCCCTCCTTGCATTGCAGCCTGATCTTGCTCATACACGCAACTTATCACGCACCTGGAGTGCGGCAAATTCATCACGCCCAGTACTGTGAAAAATCCCGCGCAAACCAGATCTTACCCTACTAGAACGATGTTGAAGCTAGGTGGGATCGATCAAAGTGTATGCGGTTGACATCCAGCGCATACAAACCTTCGAGCACCCTGCGAAGACTCTCGATACCAAAGCAGATAACCTCTTCTAAAGCACCAACCCTGGAGATGGTTTGGCGCTGCTGATATCCTTGTGCAATGGGTATCCGCGATCTTCGTGTCCACCTGTACGACCATTCCGGAGGGTGTCGTAAGCCCTTGCACTAACATCGATCAAAGAACCAGACAGATACTTGTATATCTTGTCATGCGTTGTATTTGGTAATCTGGAGTGCATCGGATACGACACCACAATCAGCATATTCGCGCATACACTTCCGCAGACTCTCAAAAAACATTCTACTTGCCTCCTGCAGAACGAAGGTTCATCCCAGGACATCGCACCAACTCACTCCCCGGGCCCAGATCGAGAGCACATCCCCCCCCCAGTTCGAGAGTACATCTTCACTTGCTAGTACCACTCCTCAGATTGACTTGGAGACAGAAGCCTACCGAGGATAACGCCGATGAAGATGACGGTAGCTTCCCAGTGGAACTCCCAATAGAGATCCCTCAGGATCCTCTTCTCGAAACCTCTGCCGGAGCCAATGCGGGAAGATACGGGTCAACGACCATTTTATGACATTTTTGGATATTATTTTTCGAGGCAGGGTCCTTGTGGGCCGCGGGTACTGTTTGCTATCATGTGAGGAAGAATGATGAGGAGTTTATAATCAAGGACTACTGGGCCATTGGAGGAAATAAAGAAAGCCTTGAATGAAAATCAGATGATGGAGAAGATGAAGCGTCCGTGGTGTCCCCCAGCGGTTGAATATTGGCTCGTTGAGGTCACCCCTGGCAAGGTGGATCAAACAGTGGAATATCGCTAACAGGTCCGTTGCGAAGTCTGCAGGTACATTCCGTACTCACATTCGCGTGGTCTTGAAACCCCCGGGGACGACCTTTACACAAATTCCGCACAAAGTACGAGTTGCTGGCCTCGGTACGGGATATCGTGCAAAGTAAGTATCATTACATTGTGATGCGCGAGCATTTACTGACCTATCTTTAGTTCAGAAGGAAGCAGTTGAACAATGCCAATGTTCTTCACCGCGATTGTAGTCTCTTCAATGCCATGATCGAGTACGATGGTAACGGCACCCACGGAATGCTGATAGATTGGGGAGTTTGCCGTGAAGATCTTGAAGAATCAGAGTTACACTGTTGGGGGCACCGTCAGTATTTCTTTTGAGTTAGTTGAGAAATCAATGTTGAACGTTGTATTTAGGGCACATTACCCTTCATGTCCCGAGCACTTCTCCTGCAGCTCCACCTCAAGACTCCAACTGATGTTGCTCGAGCTTAAGGGGGCCTCAAGTTCGAGACCATACCCACCCCCCCTAATCAAGCACTGCTACCCAAGACGACCTCGAGTCCATGTTCTATGTCTTCATATGGATTCTCATCGAGTTCAGGGGTCCCCTTGGCATGAAGCGTATTCTCGACAAGAGCCACAATTGGATACCGCACGAGTGGTCTGCCTCGAAGTTCAAGACGTGCTGCGATAGTAAAACATCATTTTTTTTGGCACGATGAGCAACTATGTCAAGGAGCTTACTGAACAAATCCATCCATACTTCAAAAAGCCTCATTCCTGTTGTGTTGGATTGGTATGAGCTCATGAAAAACCTGAAAAACGTGCATTTCGACGACGTGCTTACGGTGTTGAATAAACATCTTGCGGACCTTCCGATGGATGAGCCCTCAACCCGAACTCCTGGTTTTCAAGGTGGTTGCTCAGGGCACTCAAGGAACAGGATGAGAAAGATGAGAAGGAGGGCCCAAGTGTTGAGGAAAAGATGTCCACAGTCGGTTGCTGGGATCTGGCCGGGGCAAACAAGAACACAGCGAGTCATAGATTATAGAGGGACGGATGGAAGCTTATGCCCAAGCCGAAGAGGGAAAGTCCAAGATCGGAGGATAGGAACTTGAAAACGCCGCATCTGATCATTATGTATGTCATTTCAATTGGATTTGTTTGAGGCACTGATGATATATATAATCGCGCTAACCTCCGCACAACATGATACCATTACGACTACATCATACTCACCCACATCATTTGTATCATGCCTGCAGGCCAACCTACTCGACTAATATCTCTGAACACGTTGATTCTGACTTCACTAAAATTCCACGCTGTTACCCACGCCGAGCTCGAGTCAAGTAATTGCGATACATTCCTTATTAAAAGCCATCAAGGTAAGTTTTTTGTTTCCTTCGTGCCAGTTTTCTCCCTGGTGTCAGCCTCAGATGCCATCTCAACGTCAGGACCCAGCTCGCACTAGCCCTAAGAAGAGGAAGACAAAGCGCAAAGCCGCGGATTCTGATGGGCAAGATGTGTCCACCCAAGAAATCGCGGGCTGAGGCTGAAGCACCCATCGTGTTCGCAAGCAGCCTACTCAACGTTCTGGACGTCCTGGTGCTGGAACAGGAGGTAGAGTTAGTCAACTCGAGATCATTGGAGCACTCTTGGGTGCCCCACACGTACCAGCCAGCCCAAAGGCTCCACCTCCCTCGACTCTAGTATCCCTACCAATCCGCTTGCTCCAGAACCGCCTCGCAAGAGAGGCCGGATGAAGGTTTTTTCGTTTTTTACTTGTAGTAACAGACTGATCACTCTGAATACATCAGAAGCCCCCTCCACCATATAGTGCCTCTGGCAAGCCGATGGATTCTGCGCCTTCGAGACCACAGGGGGAAAAAGCTACAGTGGCGAAGAAACCTGCTCCCGTTGCCTCAACTGTCGAGTCCATGGATTCTGCGCCTTCGAAACCACGGGGAAAAAAAGCTACATTGACGAAGAAAACTACTCCCGTTGCCTCGACTGTCGAGCCCCCAAACCTCCAACCCAGTTTCGTACATCGTGAAGCGGGTGCACGCTTTGGTTTTTCTCAGTTCATCGTTCCCCCTGGTACAGAGCCTGACCTGCAGGCACTCAACAACCCTTTTGTGGCTGCAGCCAGGGAGAAGCAGGCTCTTTCAGCAGGTCTAGCTGCACGTCAGCCTGATGCTAACTCAGACTTATTCCAGAACCTGGATCCTACCCTTCGGCCAGTCAACAACGGACCGCAAGATTCAGGAGCTGAAAGCACGGAGACATCTAGTGAGGGTGGCGATGGAAATACTGACGACGACGACAACGACAACGACACGACGAACGACGACAACGACGACGACAACGACACGACGACAACGACGACAACGACGACGACGACGACGACGACGACGACGACGACAACGACGACGACGACGACGACGACGACGACGACGACGACGACAACGACGACGACGACGACGACGACGACGACGACTACGACGACGACACGACGACGACGACGACGACGACGACGACGACGACGACGACGACGACGACGACGACGAAGATTGAAGTTGGCTGGGGAGCAGCGCAGGGGGCGTGACTGAACATCCTGGTAAGCAAATCAATGATCACCATCATGACATACTAAACGAGCGACAGGTTTCTCAAAAGAAGATTTACCGTCTCAACCCCATGTCGCTCGTGCTCTTCCAACCGACTTCGATTTTCAATATTCACGTGATGAAGGTGACATTAACGCAGAAAGATCTTTGGCAGATGATATCTCCAGTACTGATGATACCACGACCAAGGTATAGTTTATTTAGTTTCCTGAAAGCCTACTAATTTTCTGTTTGTTTGGCAGCCGGCTGAACCTAAGCCAGATGATGTCTTACAGCGCCACCACCAGAAAAATGGACGCCCTCGACTTCCTGATCCACAAGTTCTTGACCTCCTACGTCACGCCGAGACAAAAGTCTTCCAAGTCAAAGGACAACAAACGTCAAGACTACATCAGCAAAAGTGAAGGAATCAGGTGATGGGCCTAGAGCCACTCAACTAGGCTGGTATGGTCCACGATGGAAAAACTTCCTTGAGGTTACGAAGAGCGAGTGCCGCGCCCAACACGCGATAGAGAACCCATTCCCCAAACTAGCGAAAGATTTGACAGGTTCCATCAATGAGATACTCATGGCTTCGCTCGTCGAATGGCTCGAGGGTGGTCAACAAGTCGAAGAGGGTAGGTCTTTTTTGCTGTCGAGATATTTTACTGACGTGTCTACCAGGTATTTGGCCTGATCGCAAGCATGATATGGCAAAACTGGTGTGTGCATTCATTGGCACACATCCGATATCTAACGTGCTGTTATGTTAGCTGTATGAGGATTTATCAACGTGGCGCTCGGACCTCAAGAAGACCGTTGCCAGTATTGTGCCCTCCATGTACGACCTCATACCTCCATCTCATGTCCCACCCCAACAACGTGCTGCCTGGGTTGAAGAAGCTGCCACGGAGTTGCTCAAAGACGCTATTTTCTTACGCAACGGTGTAGATGAAAATGGGAAAACCGAAAACGCCTCTCATCCTGTGCTCCGCGAGGCTTCTATCTCTTTCTTCTATACAGGGTCTTACTGTGTTGCTCGCAGGAGACCTGAGGTCTTCCAGAAGTCTTTACCGCTAGAGTGCTTGGCACTGGTTTGCACCGCGGTATTTTTTCGTCCTTCCATGTCCTACTAACAACACACTGACCACATGTTTGATAGGTTAATTGTGTCCTAGATGGCTTTGCTAAGAACGGCAGCGGAAAATCATTTCCGAAGTTCACCGCAAAGGAATACTCTTCTTTGTATACTGCTATGCTCACTAACCTGGAATCGATCATGCGTGACCCTTACCATGGACCGAAATTAGCGCGGCAACTTCGTTCCTGGGCTGCAGCTGGATGGCAAGGAGTTTTTGCTTTCGAAGTATTGCATGCTGATGAAGTTCTCACAGGGCGGAGTCCTACAAAGTCGACGGCAATGTGAATGACGCTTCGAGACATTCTCATTTGAAAATCATCCTTGATTGACGTCTTTCTATTCTTGACATTATTGCCCCGCATTGATTCTATCTCGAGCGTCGTTTAGTGTAGTATGCATCTGATTGAATGCTATTATTGATTTTGTCGATTTTTTGCTTGTGTGTACATGTGTGAACAGTCGAGCAGCTAGCAGCAGCGGCACAATTATATTTTATTGGTACAAGAGCCCTTCTCTGGGTGTCTGTGAGTTATCTGTACAGAGATCTACAGAGTGAAGTAGTACTGTAGTGAGCTGTATAGAAGGGACCAAGCTGTCGGCCTGTCACACTGTACAGTTCTGTACAGTTCTGTACAGAACCGAGTGATTTACTGATGTAGCTGTTGTATACCACGCTAGGAACATCATGAACAATGATGCAGTTGCCATCAAACTCGAATCCATCACTACCCAGCCATCTTCTGTACAGCGCGAATGCACGATTCTGAAATGACTTGAAGGTGGAGTTGGTATCCCGCACGCTCTCTGGTTCAGTAGAGAGTCACAATATCATGCTTTGGTTCTCGGCCTCCTTGGGCCATCGCTGCACGATCTTTTCCTCACACATGATCGAAAGTTCAGCCTTCATACTGTTGTAAATCTTGGAATCCAACTGGTGAGTCGTTTTGTGCTGGGTTTTTGCAGATAGGCTAACCCATTTCCCAGATCTCACGTCTTGAGTACATCCACTCACACAATTATGTTCACTGCGATATCAAACCACAGAACGTCATGGTGGGCCTTGGCTATTTGAAGCACACCGCATTTATAATCGATTTTGGTATTGTGAAGGAATACTGGGACACTGCAACCAGAGTCCATATACCATTTCGCCAGAATCAACGTCTCACTGGCACACCTGCCTTTGCTTCAATAAATAACCACTTAGGAGTTGACCCGGGTCGTCGTGACTGACCTTGAATCACTTACATACATGTTGATCTATCTGTTACGCAGCTCCCTTCCTTGGTTGACAAGTGACCACGAGAAAATCTCCAGCTCCTCCATACTCGAGCGCAAGGTCAACACCACCATCGAAGTCTTATGCGATGGAATTCCTGTCGAATTTGCAAGTGTTCTCATCTACATGTGCTCTCTTGCATTCTCGGAAGACCCTGACTATGAACATCTTCGTTCATTGCTTTGTGGTCTTCAAGCCACCTTGGCTGCGCCATCTACATGCTCACTGGATCTCAGCATGCCTGATGATCACATCATACATCTGTCAGACATCAGACGTCTCTCATCACCCTCTAATCTCCAATAAACACTGGATGGCCGAAGCGGCCCCATGTCTGCCGGATGCAACACCACTTCACAGATCTACTCGTGTGTGAGTAATTTGTTTCATTTTCCATTCACAATCTAAAGCTAATGTGATTTCCAAGTTTACAACAACATAATGGCTCTCCCATGCATCCAACTGCATCGTGGAAAAAGTCATTAGTTGCTAGATCACGCTGTTGACTACGTACTTCTATCTCTACATAAATTATAGTGTACAAGCCTTGTGTTTCTCATACGTTCAATGTGGTCAATTACATGTTGCCTTGAGTCAAACTTAATCATCCCGATGCCCGACTCTCACACAGAGTCACACTGAGTCACACAATTTCTTATCTTTTCACACCCTTTCCCTCCCATCTCCTTGCCCACCCTCCTTGCAACTTGCAAGTGCTGTTTTTCTGCAAATCGGTTTGCCTGCTACAGAAACAAACTTGTTCTGGGTACATGTTCCTAACTCCTAAAGTGTGAGTCCCAACATCTACCAGTTTTGCCTCATTAAATGCTATCAGCATCATGGCCAACCTGCTGGATGACGCAAGGGGGATTTTCCACAAACACCCCAATCTCCTTGCACTGTATTGCAATCTGAATTCAATGCTCAATCAATCAGTCGTAAACTTCCAAACTGAAGGTAAGCATTAACTTGCTTGACCCATTGGTTGTCATCTGAAACACCCGTTTAGTGACCGTCAAACCACCTACCCTGACAACCCTTTGCAAACATGAGATGTCCCTTTTGCCAGATGTCATTGCTATATTGCAATCTGGCTTCTGGACAGCCAGATGACTTTGAGGATGTAGGTAAGCTTTACTGTGTTTCATATAACCAACTGATTGCAAGATCTAGGGCCCATCAGAACGCACATCTTATAGTATCCCTCTCATTGGAGAAGCTTCATAGGTAGTGGGCATCGGGGAAATCCCACACATATTGTGCTGCATAGGACCACTCAAATGAACAAGATCTCATGGTACGTACCCTGGCCCCTGGGCATATGTTCCATTGTCCCCCTTGGGTCATCACAATTAATGATGTTGTTTAGACCATTACTTCGCTTGTGCAGACTTGGACACATTCAACCTTGTCATTATTTGACTCAGCACTGGCGTTTCCCCGTGTTCCCCATGACGAAGAATCATCGAAGATACATAAAGACTCTGTCTTTGAATCTTCACCATCACTTGAACATGCCTCCTCGTCGATGAGGGCGGGGGTCCCAGGTTACCACTGAGCCTACTCCTGCTGCTGCAACTCCCACCGCTGCTCCCATTGTCGCTACTCCAACTGATGCTACCTCCATCATTGCTACCCCCATTGTTGTTACCCCCATCATTGCAGCTGTTTCCCCCATTGCTGCCACTGTTGCTCCCATTACTGCCGCTGTTGCATTGAATGCAACTATGCTTCAACACCCTCAAAGGCAATGGCAACTGCCTTTAATGTACTGCGACAACAACTCAGTTCGTACTGGCCATATGCCATATGATGGTGAATATATCGACATCGACAATGTCTCTGGGGGTGAAGAGGATGACTTGCCTGCGCCCAGAGTTAGGGCTCCTCCGGTTCCCAGCCCTATGCAGACAGCGACTAGCACAATCTACTCTACCCAAGTTGATCCCTTGGCCACGGGTGCCCGAGCAAAGCAGCCTAAAAGTACTGCTGATATCACATACTTCATTCGGGAAGATTCAGATACTAAACGCAGGATTTGCCGAATCTGCGAGTAAGTTTTGTGTCTGCGATCATGTCGTTCTTTCTTACAGCCTTGTCCAGGGAGTTGCAGAAGGTGGACAGTTCACACCAAATTATGTCATACAAACACTCAACCGGCACTTCTGCCCATCGTACTCACGCTTTCTATCACCATACCGACATTTTCCTGCAAGAGGCAGAGCGCCTAGGCTGCCTATCTATGTACAGCCACTCAATGAGCGCCTTGCTGAAGGCTGGAGTTTGGCGGCTATCTGTCTAAGACTCCACAACCCTGCGTATCACATTGAATCACTCGGTACCATCCCTAATCAGGGACACAACAATTTTCCGCCTGGAACCACCCCGGAAGATCATATTCCAGATTTCAGCATCGACGAGATGCACCATCAGTTGGTGAAGTTTATAGTTGCAGATGACCAAGTGAGTGTCATTCACTTTCTACATGCCCTTGCTAATTCATTTTCTGCAGGCAATAAACATAGTCGAATGTGTGGAGTTTCGACGCCTGATACGTTTTTTGTGGAAGGATCTTACTGACTCAGACATTCCCCACCGCACAAAACTTCGTGAGCTCATCATAGTCACTTGGCAGGAGTATTTCCAGGTGTTGAAAGGTGATCTTGCCGTGAGTGTCTAGTTATCGAGAATCCTGTCATACGTCTTATATATTTTCACAGAGGGCGCAAGGAAAAATATCCTTTACATCTGACCTCTGGTCTGATCAGAAGCTCCGCCCCTTCATGGCACTCACCGCTCACTGGATTGCCAAGGAAGAGAAGACATCAGTGCTCGTCTTGAAGGCAGCCCTTATTGCATTTCACCATGTTCCAGGAAGTCATACTGGCAAATCTCTCGGTTCAGTCATACTGCATCTCCTTGATCGCGCTGATGTTGCAAAGGATGTAAGTGTTCACCTGTATTGTATGACGTGCTCTGACTTCGTTTAGCCTGGACACTTCACTTTGGACAATGCAGCAAACAATCAGACGTGTATGAAGGAGCTTTCTAACTTACTTGAAGAACACCAGATTGATTACAATCCAATTGAAAACAGGATCCCTTGTTTTCCGCACGTGATCAACATATGCGTGAAACATATTCTGGATGACTACCCGACAGCGGACTTCTCAGACGTGGAGAATACCTGGAAGGTTTGTGGTCAGGACATCGCCAAGATCGACTACACTGGCGCCATCACTGGTAAAACTCTTGAACGGGCCATCAATCTTGTGCGCTCCATCCATGTATCAAACCAACGACGAGTGAATTTCAGGGATACCATCGTTATAGGTAACGACAAGGGTTGGTTCCGAGGAGACAGAGGCAAGCCTATAAAGCTCCCTGAAGTCGAACTCCTGCTCGACGAGCAAACCCGCTGGGACTCAATGTTTGTTATGCTTAATCGTATGCGCAATATACATCAGGTGAGGTCTCATCTCATTAAATATTTGTGGTGGGCTAACCATTGCCCAGGCGGTTGATATGTTCTTCCAGTCTGCCAGTCAACTCTCCATACGTGACAAACAGCTGACTCCAATTGAATGGCATTTCCTACAGGACTTCAAAGTGATTCTGGAAGTAAGTATTGACACCTTCGTAACCTATGTTGCATTTAACTATGTAATTTCAGCCCCCACACAGAGCTCAACAATCCATGTCGAGCAAGAGCACTCCTCATGTTGGGTTGTACGGTTCCAGCTTTTGAATACCTACTTGAGGATTGGAAGCAGTTGGCCAATAGTGCCCCGCACTGCGCCCCACTCATCAACATTGGATTGACTTGGGCAGATAAGTATGACAACAGGATGGCCTGTACAAACACTTATGCCATTGCAATGTGTCAGTCCCTTTCATCTTTATAAAATTTCATGTCTTATGATCACTCTATAGACATTGATCCAACATGCCGAATGTCATGGGCTACAGATCATTGGGATGAGAACTGGTTGAAGTCAGCTAAAGAATTCATTCTCAATCTGGTACGTCTATCTATCTAGCAACAGCATGCGCTCATATGTCCTGTAGATGCATGTCAAGAGAGCACAGCAGACCTCCAACATACTGGCTTCAACCCAACAACCCTCAAGACTACAGTCGCGCACGCTAGGCTCCCGTATCTACGGAGTTCATGAGGGGAGTGCACTGCCAGTTTGTGATGATATCATCCAGACAATCAATCAGGAGTTTGGGGCTTATAGCACAGCTAATCTCAGCCCCAAGGGAACAAATATACTCTCGTTCTGGCAGGTGAGAGTCGTCTCCATCAAGTGACGTATTTTGTTGTTGACCATGAGGTTTTGACCAGATGTCTGAGGCAATGTTCCCAACAGTTTACGCCATTGCTATGGACTACCTCCCAATCCAGGCATCTGCTGTTCCCTGTGAGTGAGTGTTCTCGTCGAGCAGCGAAACATACACAAAGAGGTGTAATTGCATTAGCCCGGTCCTCATGGAGGCGCTACAGATGGTAAAGTTTTCTTTAAAGAAGGAGCAACTTAACTTCACAAAAGGTTGGGCGGCGTCGCAGTGGGCCATGGAAAGTGTTATCGTATCTGACAATGGCTCGGACGAGCTCCTGGCACCTGTCTCAATTGGAACCACAGATGACAGCCATGCATACGACGCTGTACTCAAAGCCATTGCAGAGCATGAGTGCGATGACATTGATGACGATGTTGTTGTCTATGATACCTGACATCTCTTTGATCTTTCATTCTTGTTTCTCACTTTTTGTTTACCATCACGCACCTTATGATTCTTCTTTCAATGTTTGTACATTGAATTTCAGTTGTTATCTCACAGTCTCTTGGTCTAGGCAATCCGGATTATTCAGTCCACTACTGGGTCAGATCCTTGATATCTGTTGAGCTCAAGTCATGCTGACCAGAGATGCTGCTAACTCATTGACGACGACAGAAGCTTGAGCTTACTGATGGCAAATTTTTTCAAGATCATCATCACTGCCATTGTGTGCACCGCTGCTCAGGTGAGTTTATGTGTTTTATGCTTCTCATGTTTCATTTCAGTAATCACCCACAGACATGCTAAGCTACATGCTTCAATTGAGCATATGGCAACGCAGGCATACAATGTCATTGGATGTCAAGTGTCCTTGGGACGGGTGTTTTTAATTTCTGGTAAATGAACTTTTACTCGGTTCCTGAGCTATTAATAGTACATTTGAAAAACAGTTCTGGTCAAAGGCGCTCATTTGCACCCTACTGAGCCATGGCTGCTAACAGCTCTGTACAATGGCTCTGTCAACATCTACAATCATGAAACTGGCGCACTTGTGAAGACTTTCGAGGTCTCTACTGTTCCCGTACGCTGTGTTAAATTTATTCCCCGAAAAAACTAATTTGTTGCTGGCTCAGACGACTTCCAGCTTCACGTCTTCAATTACAATACGCATGAGAAGGTCACCGTGTTCGAGGCTCACCCTGATTATATACGATGTCTCACCGTGCACCCAACTGCAAGCATCGTGCTCACTGGAAGTGATGACATGAATATCAAAGCTTGGAATTGGGACGAGCAGTGGAAATGTATTCAGGTGCATTACCATGTTTTGTGCTACTCTCAGCCTCACAACTCGTGCCAGGTCTATGAAGGACATACGCACTACATCATGAACATCACTTTCAACCCCAAAGACTCAAATACTTTCGCATCTGCTTGTCTTGATCGGACCATCAAGATGTGGTCCCTTGCCTCCCCTACAGCAAACTTTACCATGGACACGCATGACAAAGGCGTCAACTATGTCAACTTTTACCCTGGCTCGGATAAGCCATACCTCATCACGACAGGTGACGACCAGGACTATCAAGATTTGGGACTACCTCAGCAAAAGCTGCGTGCAAACGATGGAAGGACACACAAGATCAAGGAGATTCGGTACCACAGAGATATTTGCGACAGCACTGCTACACTCAGCTGAATGGACACTTCGTGACTGTTGTCAGTGATGGAGAATACATCATCTACACAGCGCTCGCATGGCGGAACAAGGTGTTTGGTTCGGGCATGGGCTTCGTGTGGGCTGGTGACTCAAACATGTATGCAGTATTGGAGAGCCATTGCTATAAAGGCAGTTAAATCATGATTCAGAAATCCCTCAGTCACTGGCTGAAGATTCTTCATTTAGTCATCATGTGTATTGACTTTCTGTTCTTCCTTCCCTTGGTCCTCACTGCAACAATGACGTTGGGTGCGACGTACCAAAGGTCAAGCCAGCTCACAGGCCAGAGCTTCCTTGACACATTTAATTTCGGAGCCATCTCAGACCCCACCCACGGCAGAGTGTAAGACATCTCTTGAATTACAGTATCTGAGGGCTGATTCAAACCACCATCCCAGGACATATGTCAATGAGAGTACTGCCAAAGTCGATGGACTTGTTTCAGTGGCTAATAATAAACTTACGCTCCGAGCGGACTACACAACAAAATTGTCTTCCTCCGGCTCGGGAAGAAAATCTTTTCGGATCAAGTCAACTTCCCAGTACAAGACTCACATGGCAATGTATGTCTACATGGACTCGTGGCACGAGTGCGAAGAATCTTATTACTCTTATTCAGTTTCGACATTGCGCATATGCCGCAAGGTTGTGGAACATGGCTAGCTGTTTGTGTGTGCAATCTCTTGTGGTCTGTTGACTTGAAGCTGACTATGGGTCAGGGTTAGCATGACTCATTGTCACAGTTTTTGATGTCTGACTAGTGCACCATGATGCAATTGATTCAACAGGGTTTGTCTCATTCACAGGATAATTTCTTTTAATAACATTCATCACAGGAAGTGGGGGCAGACTGGCCAAATCAAGTATGTTCAGATTGATGTCTGTTGTTTCTGTTATAATTTAGGGTCACAGGGCGAAGTGGATATCATAGAAGGCGTCAATGATCAGACCCCCAATAAATGCAGTCTACACACAGGCTCCAGTAAGATCACATTCAAAGGAGGAAAATTATGGGTACTAAAATCGGTCTTCAGATTGCACCATGCCCTCTTCTGGCTCAATGACAGGGTCAGGTCGTTTATTGAGGCTCTAGGTATTTGGTGGTCCTGATGCAAAATTGAATATAGCACCGTCAATGGTACAGATTGCTATGCATACGATAATGGCAACGTGAGGTGTGGGGTCAAGATCAACAACAAAAAGAGTTATGGTCTGCAATTTAACGACAACGGAGGTGGCTGGTATGCATACCATGTTAGTCATAGTTCTGCCAGAATAACGGGGAACCAGGTATGCGATAGAAAGGCGCTCAACTTACATCAAGATTTTCTTTTGGGAGAGGACCAGTAGCTCTGTTCCAAGTGACGTTAAATCTCCTGGTTCAAGGAACACGGTGATGTAGGGATGAAGGGTGCAGGAAGCTAAACAAAGTTGCTTGGTCTGGAGGGTCGAGGTATGCATGATTTCAATTATGTGTGTGGGTCTACGATTCAGCTGATATTTCTATAGACCTCTAGCCATTTAGTGACGAATGATATTGGAAACAAATGCAACGCAGGTGAGTACATCCTCTTCTACTTGCACATCTAATGCTTATTCCCCCCTCGCCCTCCAACCCAACTTCCTCAGCACTACACGCCACCATTTCGTCCTTGGCCGTTCCCGGACATCTACTGCCGCCCTCGTATCCACCAATCTGCTGCATTGCAAGACCCTTTCTGGCTCCCCTGCCCTTATCTGCCTCATCTCCGCCTTTACTGCCTGTTGCTTGCGAGCATGGTCCAAGCTGCAATACAACTAATCGGCATTAGCTTCCCGAATGCCGGATTCGATAACGACACTTACATCAGCTTGAGGACCCATTGCAATCATTGATATTACTTTGGATCAAATGTGAAGTATGATTGTGCAGTACGATGCGAGTCTGATTGATTGTGACAGCACATTTCCTCTTTCACTCAATGTTTGATTAACTTAAAATTAAGTGTATGTATTTATATATATATATTCTAATTTAAATTTGGCTTGAGCTGGCTTCAAGCCTGCAAGCACAGCTTCGTGGGCTAGACCAGACCATGGATTACGTAATGTGTAACTGCATACATGGCTTGGCTAACTGTAGCTCCGCTCACAGCTAAAGCCGGCCACAAGCCGGAGCCTGCGGCAACACTACAATGTATACTGAAAGACATCACGAAAGAGATACACAAGCGCAGAATCACTAGAAGTAAAGGTGAAAATGCTGCAACGCTGACTGTATTAGTGACCATTGACGTGTAGTTGTAATATCATCTATCGTGCCGGAACTTCTCATGTTAGCTCCTACTTTTCGCATTGCCTCAATTAGTGCTGCCGTGGTCCAGTTCAGTCCAGTTCAGAGGCAGTGTGACAAGAACCGAGAACCAGACCTTGGTCTGGTTCTACCTTTATCGACGAACCTTGGACCGAACCTTTGCGGACGATTCGCACCGGTCAGGTTCGGTTTTTTTTTGGTTCGAACGTGAACTGGACCCAATTTTTTTACAGCTAGCAAAAAAAAACATATATTCGAAGTACTTGTACTGATAACTATGTATCTAACATATCTAACGAAGTTGCATTTCCCTCAGCCTCTGCTGCAGCAGAAGTGCACGGCAGCTTCTCGGTGTTGAATGTGAACTCAAATATCGAAAGAGGAGAGGTGTGGAGATGGATGGCAAAAGACAGAGCAATCTCCAGGAAGCTGTAAAAGATTAGCCAAGGAAGTGCTGTGTGTTTCATAGCCTGACTGACCTTTGCACAAGTACCATAGCAGCATTTAGCGCCAATTCCTGAACAAGATTGTCCAGTCAAATTAGTATCTGTACATCAGCTTATGCAGGAATCAAGATTGTGTACTCCCATAACAATAATTGAGAGAATCGTTCAAGAGAAGGTGTAAGTTCTGGTGGGTCGTTCATTATTGCGTCATCACAACTCAAATGAGACATACCTCCAAGAGGTCTCCACCTGAGACTCTCGAGCATGAACATGGTGACCTCCGGCAGCATTTCCTGATCATCAAATGTCGGCACTAATCAGGAGCTATCTCAGTCAGTGTACGTCGCATAGCTGCAGCCGCTTCCGCATCAGTTTCAGGAACAATGCCATATCTCTGCAGTGTATTTTAATAGAATGAAATTGGAGGGACGAGGAGTGACTCACATTTTCATCTTGAGCAAGAGGTACTTCGACGATCGTCAGTGCGTGTGGAATGTCCTTCAGAAACAACTTCGAGGTTGAAATTTCAATGTCAGGACTGTCGTCGATTGGTTGGGATGTATTTAGAGGCTGTGTGCCGAAATGTGTGGAACTGAGCAAACAACGCCAACGAATGAGGCACGATGGGCTTGCAGGAGGAGCTGCATGATGAGACGCTGTGGTTTGATTCGTTGGGGAGTTGAGCATTTTTCATAGCGGTCAATGATGATTGGTTTGATTTCACCAAGATCAAGAATCTGTTGATCGATCGTCAGACGGACCTGATTGAGGACAGTGCTGAGTGCCCAACAAAGAACATATAAGTCCCCCATCCAGAGTCGAGTCTACATGCGCAGTGTACATACATAGTGTCAAGATTGATTCAGACCAGTGCAAACACAACCAGTCTCCACCATGTGCATTGGAGAATCCTGGAAAATATATCAAAGTAATATATCGGTTAGTTCATCATAGAGCTTGATTGACGGTTAATTGGTATTTTGAGCTTGATTGGACAACCAGGAGCACAAAATGTGAGTGTCCAGACAGAATTGAAAGTCAATGCAGATGTCGAAGATCCCAGAAGTCGAAGTACCCATGAGTGTGGAAGAGAAGTTACCAGCTTTGCTGATATCTTGAGGAAGTTTCGGTTCGCGGTTCGGAACGGTGCGGAAAGGTCCGAACCCATGACTGAACCGTCCCAGGAACAACGAACCATGAACCTCATTTCGGTTCGGTCCGGCCAAAATGGGGAACCATAAACCGAACCATGGACGAACCTGACCATTGGTCGGTTCGAACCACAGTTCGGAACCAGACCACGGCAGCACTAGCCTCAATGTCATCCCCTGTTCGCTTGCTCTTGGTCAGTGCTTTCTTTCCTCCAGCTGTTTTTTCATACCGCACAGCTCACAACATCCTTACACGCATCGTTTTCATGGTGCCCTCGTTCTCACTGCCTTCGTCGTAGATATTGCGATTACACAGTGAACACTTGCATTAATGAACTACATATTTCGTCCCAACCTATTTTAGCCCACTTTGAATGTACTTGGTGCAACGGGAACTTGAACGACTACAGATGACCGTAACAACGATATCCTTCTGTTTCCGCTATGAGGAAGCACTGATGCTATGCACCACCTTTACGCAATCCACAGCGCACGAGCAACTACATCTCTGATGGAATTGATATGCCTTGTCCGTCGTTGCGTGCGCTCACAAACCAGCGCTAACATCATGACTGTCATACAGTCAGCTCAAGCTGTTCGCATGGACAACCTTAAACTCGGAATAGAATAGAATACGAAGTATGATCCATTGTACACTCGGTCAAATCTAATTTGTATTTGAAATCTCCATAATATATCCATTGCTGTGATCATTGTTCAACGTGGTACTAAGGTCTGCAAGTGTTGATTTTAGTGAACGGAAAGGGCTTTGAAGAGACCCACTGCTCTCGACACTTTTGCCAGTGTTGTCCATGTGCCATGCGGCTCAAATCAAGCTCAGGACCTCTGGGTATCACTAATGCAGTCCCAGAGTTCCAAAGTGAATGTCGAGAAGCGGGTGGTACCCAGAATAACAACCGACGTTTGGGCCCTACCGCCCATCCACTATCAATATTCAGGAAAACGGGGATCGAACTACAGTCGCTATGGGATGCTCCCTCCGTTAACTCAGAGGTGTTGCGCAGCGCGTGGATGGAGTTTGGCGAGAAGCAAATGAAACGATTGTTCAAAGTGCTCGATGTCATGGTAGTGGTAGCCTCGATCGTACGATGTTCATCCGAGCATGCTGTGTGATTTGACTTGGTGCGCTGTCGCGACGGCTGGCTCATCACTGCATACCACAGCCGAACAGTGTTATCTTCTGAACCAGTGACGATGCAAGTGCCGTCCGGCGAGAACGAGACCGACCAAACTGAATAAGTGTGCCCCCGCAAGGGCTCGCCGACTGGCTCCCCCGTCCCTGCATCCCCCGTCCCTGCATCCCACAGCCAAACAGTCTTATCAGAAGAACCAGTGACGATGCGAGTACCGTCCAGCGAGAACGAGACCGACCAAACTGAATCAGTGTGCCCCCGCAAGGGCTCACCAACTGGCTCCCCCGTCCCTGCATCCCACAGCCGGACAGTCTTATCAGAAGAACCAGTGACGATGCGAGTGCCGTCCGGCGAGAAAGAGACCGACGAAACTGAATCAGTGTGCCCCCGCAAGGGCTCACCGACTGGCTCCCCAGTCCCTGCATCCCATAGCCGAACAGTCTTATCCTGCGAACCAGTGACGATGCGAGTGCCGTCCGGCGAGGACGAGACCGATCTAACTCCATCAGTGTGCCCCCTGAGCACGGTCTGAACAGCTGGCCAATTCATATCACGTCCAGATGCCACATGAAGAGTATTCGGAAACCGTGCAGAAAGGGTTTTCGATAGCGGAGAGTTGGCAGGCGAGAATGGGAGTGCTGATACATACAGATGTGGCGTGCTGTGTAAAATTAAGCCACCGAAGACTTGAATGAACCTCTGTACGTCCATTGCGGTCGACGAGACATCTTTGAATTCGGAATGACCCTGTGGTCGCGCATGAGCACTTTATCAGACAGCCAGTAGCAGTGTGCTCACCTTCAGCCACTGGGCAGTGGGCGGAAGGGCAGAACCTGCACCGCTGAGCGCATTGATCAAGGCGAGTAACTCGAGCCAGAAAAACAGCCGCTCGTGGTTGAAGAACGATTTCACTTCCTTCGCGAGCTCCTTGTCGAAGGTTGTGGTTCGTACATGCGAAGTCCAAAATCGAGAGGAATATGACAGATGTGGGGGGATGCATGTTTGGACTCGTTCTTGCAGCCCGGGATCTTCACTATTAGGCAAATACGACGACTTTAAATTACATATATTGAAGCGAAGGCCGTGTTCCATCACTCGAAGTGACGCGAATGCAAGGTCACGTTGCGCCTTTGACATGTCGATGAAAAACTCTCCGCTGGATATTTCGTCCGTTAAGAAATCATGGAAGGATGCGTGAAGGGGTCGGATTGGGGAATCTGGGTTAGTGGTGCCGCTGAGGAGGGAGCCCATCCTTTTTACTACAAGCTCCACGTCGGAATCGTCCTTTTGCGTTGGAAAATGGCGCCTCATGGCGTTCAGAGAAGCTATAGGAAGGGGTTCAGCTGTGCCTAGTATTTGTCCCATCACTGAGCGAAATCTCGCTAATGCAGTCAAACGCAGTTCCTGCGAATGCAGAGATGTATCCCCGGGTATGATATTTGTTAACGAGAGGCGATACATGTCATGCAACAGCGGGCTTCTCTTAGCGGGATTGCGTGACACCACAGCCTCGTAGCAATCCTTTGGATATACCATACCAGACTCTTTGATGTATCCGCAGGCGAGACGCGCCCACTCGAAAAGTCCATCAGCTTTCTCAGCGAGGACTGCGAACTCTCTGTCCCGGAAATCCAGCCCTTCCAACTCCTTGGATACGTAAGTGTGGATGTCACGCTTTGCGTCTGCTGGTGGAATATCATCCATCGACATCTGTCGAATATGCTGAACACCACGAAACTTGTCTTTGATGTCATGAAGCGGGCGAGAGGTAACGATGAATCGGAAGTTGCCAGGGAGGTCTGTGATTTTGGGAACGGCGGTGTTTTGATGTTTGCCAGCCAGAATGCTGAGGAGGTCTTTCCGTGTCTCTACTCCACCGCTCTCGTCCAGTGCATCGATCACGATCACGATGGGTTCCCCAGACGAGCCAGATGACTTCTCCAGTGGTTCGATAAGAAGCTTCTGCCACTGCTGGATGATATCCGCCGTCTTCTTGAGCGAACTCGCAGCCTGAACTGCATCCGCCAATGCCCGTCTCATCTCCGGGTCACGGTCAGCCAGGTCGCGCGCGATCGTGGAAAAGATCTTTTCATGGCGACGGTCTGCTTCTCGCTGGCGATCAAAACAGTAACACGAACCAAGCCCTCCCACGTCGTTGACCCACTTGGCAATGGTGTGAGCGATGGCCGATTTGCCCTTGCCTGCAGGGCCAGATAGCCACAGCACGCGTTGAACATTGTCCTCAGTGCTGTTGACCCATTCCATGATGTCGGAAAGGATTTCCGTGCGGGTCCCTTCAAGGCATTCTTTTCTGGTATCTAGTCCCGCGCCATCTGCATAAGTCATACTGCTGAGGTCCAATATTTCTTCTGAAAAAGTATGAATATATGTCAAGTCACAAGGACGTCCGAACCCTTACCGATACGGTGGACGTGTATGGCTATGTCGTTGACGTGTGTGCTTATGTCGTAGACGCCTATGGCTACGTGGCGAGCAACCTGGTCCCGGAAGTTTTGCATGAGCCCATCGAACACGTCATTGTATTTTTTGATCGTATCGTCCGTTTCCGAGAGGACATCCTTTCCAAGTCTGCTCCCTATGATAATGGTGGAAGCTCGAGACAGTACAGAGCGCAAAAGCTTGTAACACTCACAAAAGCTCTTGGTCTCCGAATAATTTTTGATAAAATGAGCGCATTCACGGGTCTGCTGAGAAATCTTTCCAATGATAGCATGCATCGACGAGATTTGGCCAAGCATCTCGTCTTGCGTTATGAAGCTGTAAACTTCACCTAACTTCTCGAGAAGTTCGCGTACCGCTTTGTCGCGATTCACTTGCACTAGAATAATCTGTATGAATGATTGTTAAATAACAGTGGGAGATAGGGAAAGAGAAAAGGAAAACATACTTTAGCTGCACAAGACAACACGCCCAGTGCCATCTTTGCATATGGATGCACCTGTAGAACGGAATTAGTTCAGTTTAGATTGAGAGGAGGGTCCCATACATCCGCGATCTCTCCGATAACAGCATCGAATATCCTGAGGGGTTTGAGATATGTCTCCTGGAACTTGTCTGCAGCATCGAGGTCCTCTTGTGCGTCTTGAACAAGAGAAACCACGGTTGTCGCATGTCCTGAAAGTGAATGTATGCCCTCTGCAGCCTCTCGAGTATCCTGAAGTGCCGATTGGGCTTCAGCCTCCACTTGCACACGAGACGGAGCCGCCTGAACGTGCACGACCACCAGAATTTAGAGAGAGCGCAGAAACTGGAGGGCAAGTGTGGGAACCTACCGAGGTCAATGAAGCACGTTCATGATTGGCATTTGGGGGAATAGGGCTGTCGCTGCGGGAATCCCTCGAGCGCTTATGGCAATCGTATTCCAGGACACTCATTACGCATGCTCGTAGACTCACAGAGGTTCTTCACTTGTTCACGCCGCTCTTAACCTTCTCCAGAAACCGATTGACTCTGCTACGGGGTCGGTGCTAGATGAAGGATTCATCGATATCAATGTCTGAAGTGGAGTGAATTAAGTGCTCAAAAACCACGTACCGAACTTTCACGAGCCGTTCCTTCGCTAGATGTGTGGGTTTGTTGAGTCGAATCCCTCGACGAATTGCCTTTCCTCCGAGTCATTGTGAATATTCTTGACTAGAACGAGTCAGTCTCAGCGTGAGTCAGAACAAACGCTAATATTGGTATGTACCTAGAACAATTCAGTCTAGATTACATTAGTCTACGAGTGAGGTCTACAAGAATAACAAGACATACCTCAGCGTGAGTCAGAACAAACGCTGAGGAGAAAACAATGCGAAGCACGCTGCTTATGAGTACCGACAAGTTACGTAACGGGGGGCTGAGTGTCGATGGTGAATCACTATACAGTACTAAGAAGTGAAGAGTGACTAAGTAGGAAGTACATCTGCGTAAAATTACGAGGGCATCTGGAAACCCCAGACGATGTTTTTGGCGGGAGATCACGCTTTTACGTGATTGGCAGGTAAAATCACAGTCGAAACGTGACCTGGCTGTTCCCCCGGGAAATGTCCTTTTTAGAAGGGAATCCCGCCCTTGACACTGAGGCGAAAACGTTCGTTCGCCCTCGTCGTTCACCAGGTCTACCAGTTCACGGTTCACGTGAATTGTGTCATCGTTCCTCATGGATGCCCATCCGATGGCCGTCAACACTAGTACTACTGGCTCCGATGCTGTCGTTGACCCAGGCTTGCTTCTGCTGTCCAATTTCCCTCGAGCACTTCAACTCCAAGTTCGTCGATGCTCGGAACTTTTCCGTCCTTTGAGAGCCGCAAATTCAGCGGCCACATCGTCGGGCGAGATATTCTCTCAAGAAGGTCATCTGCGTCACAAGGCTCGGTCGAGAGTTGACTCGGAGGTGACCACATGGAGGATGCTTCAAGACCCTGTGCAATCTCGACAGTAGTGCCAACCTCTTCACAAGTGTACATGTGAGCATGTCAATGACGGGTGGACTTCCCAGCCTCTGCAGCTTTCATGGCGCTGTGGTGTCGAAGGTTTACACGAACTTTTCCGAGTGTTTCGAATGTGTTGACTGATAGATTACACCGTCACGCAGATTGTGTTGTGCTGAGATCACAGAATGTACGCTCTACTTCGCCTGCATGCCCCACAATCAAGAGGATCAGATCTTGAGTGGGTGAATTTCAGAATTGATTGGATGGCCCTTCCATCATGAAAGGTCATCTGTTTGGCCGCCAGCACTATCTTACTTCAAGTAGGGAGTCAACAGTCGGTTTTCGTGCTCCATTGAATTCAAACCATCTGTGTTATCATATCTAAACTATATCTCTGCGAGTCCCAGATGCCCTGGAGTTCCGCCAGGTTCTGCACCCCCTTGCACCTGAGTTTTGCTATGGGCCCGGCAAAACTCCCGACTTCTGCCAACAACACTAGCGGCGAGTGCCCTGCTTTCCTGACAAGCGCTCACTGACTCGAGCCAGCAGGAGGACTTGGGCCCATACGTAAGTCCTCACTCTTCCCATCAACAAGGTGAGTTAATATATTCCACTATGTACGTTACACTAACAAACTATTGCGCCCAGGGAATCCTGAGTCTGTACCATCGTATGCTAGAGGCAATGATACTACAAGGTCTATGACTCAGATTTCTCATCGCTGATAAAGTGCATGCACTGACACTGACACTCCCCTCCTGCAGCAAAACCCTCACCGTGAAGCAACTGCAAGCGCTGTGCCGTGAGCATGGGTTGAACGTGCGAGTGAGAAAGGTGGCCTTATCGAGCGACTCGCTGCTGCAGTGCCTCCAAGGTATGTTAGGTGTGTTTCCCCTTTATTTTCATTGTTCTCACCGATTTTGGCATTCCATCTGCAGTCCCATGCCTTCTACTACCACACCCACCATCCCAGCAGCCAGTTCTCTACCCTCAGTGCTACTCTCAGCTGCAAATTCCAGGCATCACAGGCGACAACGTGGACGGCGATAGCACATAGCTGGAAATATTCAGGATGACAAGGAACCAGTAGTGCAAGCAAGTGGCAGGCTTCTGCAAGCGTATACTCTGCTATTGATGCTTGCTGATCATCTCCTCGTCTCGGCCGCGGCGTCTGTACTTTTTTCTGAGCTTCTGCCATAAATCATTTGTGTTATACATGATTGACCTTACAAACCGAGTATCCTTTCTGCCTTGACTTAATATCTCCTTCGTAATCATTGTTACTCATTGTGCCCAGCTCGCATATCTTGTAGTTGAGTATCTAAGTTCCGTACTATGACAATCAATGACTTGGCCCCGGCGCTCACAAACTCAAAGAGGGTTACTTCCCCCTAAACAGCCACGCAGAACCAACTGTACGCCTGCCAAGTGATCGGTGGTCGGAAACGCCCGAGGAGAAGTGTTGTCCACCCACCAAAATCATGACCGAAACCGTGATCTGCCCCACGCAAACGTGATTCTCCTTCGAAACTGTGATCGGAGGGAGGAAAACCATAATTCGGCGCTCGCCGAGGACAATCCAACTTCAATTCCAATTCACATCCAAAGTTTTCGCTCTGCCTTAACTGGTCACGGCAACACGCGTGGAATGATTGGAATTCAAACCAATAGTATGCTATTTTTTATAAATACTCTTTCTCTTTCTTCGTCGTGTCTATCTCCTCTCCACATCTACGCCCATTATGACACCGCCGCGTCAACCGCCGCCGCTCACAGTTGCAGAGGCTACAACAAGTACCATCCACGCCGGCGAGGATGCAGACACCACTACGGAGCCGTCTACTTCAACATCTCCTGATATACGTGAGGCAGTGGGATTCGCATCGTTTGGACGACACTGTGGGACCAAGCCTGACCTAGGGGACGACATACCACAGCCTGAGAGTCGAGACCTGCACGCACAGACTGTCGTAACACCTCGCGCACACGACCTACCCCGCTCATCCCTCCTCGACGTCAGTGACGACACCACCAGGGAACTACCAACTTCAAGATTCTCTGATACATGCTTGAGGCGGCGGAGAACGGGCTGCCTGCACGCCATCTCGTGCTGTGGAGTTGGGTGGCAAGGAATGGTGAGTACGCAGATTTAGCACATATCCTAAACCATAGCTCAACTGATTTTCGTATAGCGCTATCTCCTCTTATCGGGATCGAGTCGCAAGACTGCATGGAACGCGCTATCGCCACTAACGACGATAGCCCCTGGCCTTCCACGCCTCTCGACGTCCTGCTCACTGACTGGCAGTCGCCCGCTCCATACGTATTCGCGTCACCGATATTCTCAGTCCCTATCACGATTTCGCCCCGGGTGCTCGTTACTGCCCCGGTCAGGTCATTGCAGGTCAGTATATATACACTTTTCGGTCATTTTGTTCATTTCAGACTTTTCACAGAAATGTCATCCGCTCCCAATACCATTCAGGCTAGGTGCGATGGCCTGCCTTTGCAGTAGGGCTTTGCTTTTAGACACTCTCACAATCATATATACCTTGTGTGCAGCATCACAGTGCTGTGCTTCCTGATGTTTATTTCGTACTTAAAGCTTGAACATCATGTAAATACACATTGGATCGCTCACCCTGTTGCGAAAACTGTGACCTTACTCTTGGAATTACAACAAATGCAGAGATGCGACTGCTAGGGGATCGTCTCACTTTGGCCGGTACCTTGGTAATCATGATTATCATTCCGCCCACCTCACACTGACAATCGCTAATTTCACACCATCATGATCGCCTATCAATGAACCCATGCCTGCATGTTTCCTTTCTCTACAATGCACACTCATGGTCAGTTCCTGACGCACAAGAACGGCCCTGGTGCCACGGGAGCTGCCTCGGACCTCAGTCTTCACAATCACCGTGCACACGGCGGCCTGCTGTTCTTTACGTCTGCAATGAGGTCTCGCTCATGAATTTATACAAGTTCAGCGATTGCGGATTCACTGGCTGTCGCTCATCTCATCGAGCTACGTCTCGCAATATTGAAGATTTTGTTCATAAATTGTGCAGCAGCTCAGAACTATGTGGCTCAATACCCCAACTCAACGCGTCTCAGCCTGTTAGACTCGGAGAAGCTTGATAGCTCAAAGCGCTGAGGCGAAGTTGATGGTCATTCGGTGGTGAGATTGCGTATCGATTGGTGTCGAACATCTTGCGTTTTGTTTTCTTCTTCTGTGACACAATCATTCCTGGCTCGCGCAGGCCAGATGAATACATGTATGCATGTTTGACAATTCCCATCATTTTCATTGAGAGCTTTCCCAGACGTGCGCCATACGAATCGGAAGATAAGGCTTACCGCGAACGCACACCGTCTTTCAACGTGACAAGCCCGGCACCAACAGGCTGAGAAAATCTCTAGCTTCTTCCTCGCCTCGAGGCAGCAAAATTTACCTCGTCGAGCTATTCTAATGCTTAGTGCCAACACGAGTACGTCTTGCTACTTCTTCCGGTCCGTAGCACTTATCTTGGTCACAGGATGACTTTTTATATATTCGTTTGCTATCACCGTGACCTTGAGTCCTTGACAGGGGCTGGGCATGCATATAAATTCATGCATATAAATCTTTCCCGCACTGTCAAAGAGGTTTTGTTCGCAATTCACGATGGTTTCAGAAGACAGTCCCCTGTTGACGTCCACCGCGCATGAAACTATCTATGACAGGTTTGCGCCCGACCAGAAGAGGTGGATCGTATTTATCGTCTCTTTTGCGGGTCTGTTGCCTAGTGAGTGCTGGTAGTTAAAGTGTACTGCTTATACGGTGGTGTGATGCTGATGAACGCGAACAGTGTTCGTCTCATCGACATTCGTGCCTTCCATCCCTCAAATAGCTAAGGATCTTGGCTCAACACATGCTATTGTCAGGTGCGTGTCGTAGGTTTATTGAATATAATATTTTATTATTGAGCGGGTTTTCCAGTTTGACCGTCAGTCTGTCGATCTTAGCGACTGCTGTCGGATCGTTGGTCTGGGCTGCTTATTCGTCTTTCTGTGCGTGTATCCATGGCGTGTCGTGAACTCGCCGTAGTTTCGATTCCTAAGTGCAGTCCTGTAGATGGACGACGATCGATGTATTTGTGGGGCATGCCGTTTTTATGCATCGGAAGCTGCGGTGTCGCGATGTCGACTTCATTGCGGAGTCTGTTATTCTGGCGGTTCGTACAGACGTTTGGATGTTCTGGGGGAATACCGTTAGGTGCTGGTGTTATCGGTGACATCTATAAATTGGAGGAGAGGGGACTGCTATTGGAATATTCTTTGGTGTGAGTGATCCTATCAGATGTTGACCGCTCTTGTGTGAATGACGTGGCTTTCTCAGGCTACACTCTTCGGGTTCGCTGTTGCACCGCTTCTTGGAGGTAAATATATTCTGGATGTTTGGGCATGCTGAATCTAACGATGTATTTAAACAGGTGCAGCGGCACAGTATTGGTCCTGGCGCAATTTGCACTATTCCATTGCTGTATGGGGCTTGCTCGAGCTGTTTCTTGTATACCTTTCGTTTCCTGAGACGAGCCATCCCGGCACATTGGGCATCGATAAACTAAAGCGAAGGAGATGGATCCATAGTCACATGGGTAAATCCTCTGAGCAGTCTCTGGTTGCTCCGGAGTCCGAATCTATTTGCGGCCGTGAGTGCATTCATGGTGTACGTTGCGTACTCGTTACAAATTCTTGGTTCTATGTGGGATGTAGATGCTTGCGTCGACTCTGGTGCTTATCACTGACTTTGGTGCGCTGACTTCCACTGTATAGTGCATTCTCACATGAAATAAACTAGTCCTCCTCGTGCCGCTGGCGTTTACTATCGTAAGCTGACAGTCATCTTCCATCTCGTATCCTGATCATGGCACAGGGCGCCCGGTATGGTATCACGAACGAGGCCATCATCGGGGCATGTTTCCTCCCAAACGGACTGGGAAACTTCAGTAAGTGCGCACCATGGAAATCACTATTCACCGACACTATCTTTAACAGTCGGCGCACCGGTTGCTGGCCGCTTATCGGACATTGTAGTCAAAAGATGGCGGAAGAAGCGCAATGGAGTGTGGTTTCCTGAGGATCGCTTGAGAGCGACGTGGATCGGAGGGCTGGTCATGATCCCGTTGTCTATTGGGGCATCGGGGCTGATTACGACGTATGTTGGGGGCCCGGTCGGTCTTTGCTTGAATTTATTGTGTCTTTTTACGAATGGGATGGGCGTAAGTTCTTTCAGCTAGGCTCTCACCATGTGCGCGAAGTGATTCACTGGTTTTTATAGGTTGACTTCGTGTTCAATCCAATTGGTTCTTACAATGTGGATGTAGCGCACTCTCGAAGCGCAGAAGCCACAGCTGCTAGCGCGTCAGTCTCTATGATACAGTGCGGCTATCAAAGTTAAACTCAATGATTTAACTACCAGAGCGATCCGGTCATTTATTCTATCTGCTGCGACTGCTCTTATCATTCCATCGATCGAGCGCATAGGCGTTGCGTGGACGAACATCATCGCGGCTGTGCTTGCTATTATTGGACAGGGGTGAGAGTCTCCTTTCATGCAAGATGAGCATAATGACGTATTGCTTCGGTTCTTCTTCTTCCAGGATCATTTTCTTGACGATCCGTTATGGTGATCGCATGAGGGCCAGCGTGGATGTTGGATTATCGACGATAGAGAACAATTCATAGATTTATCTTCGTTTGTTCGAAGAAAAGCAACAGATTAGAATCAAGATTTATGGATAATATATTCGTCAAATTGCCAATAGACTCATCGGGTCGGGGCCATCTTGAGCAGGATGCATTATGCTAAATGCCGGTGGCGCAGTTCACCGGGAAACTTAATTACATGCTTAGTCTTATCGGTATTGGACGCAAATCGGTTCGAACTGTCTAGTGCGAAGGCGTATGGGAGGGAAAGGCCATCTGGAGGTGTGATTTTAGGGTGATGGAGAGTGCGCCTGCGCCATTCAACGTGAACGTTCTCGTACGATGTGTGTTCGGCATGGTCGGTGAATACCGTCGTCGTCATCTATCACGGCCATCAACGTGCCTAGAAGTGAAGCCATTGGTGATAGCCAGACGTAACCAGCCTAGTACATTTCGCAAGAAAACAACACTTTAATCTGGATCTATCGCTCCATCGATGGCATCAAGGTCTGAGAAACACTTCAGTGTGCAGAACCAGCTGCCGGTATGGGGCGAGAAGATTTCGGGGAGGCTGTCGTGAATTCGGAGTATATATGAAGCTTCATTATGTAAAAACAATGGAACTTCGAGAATGGACAATTTGTATTGAAGATTGGAGAGCATCCGAGTTGGCCCCGACTCGGAAGCAAATAAAAAGCCGGTTAAAGTCCGGTTCTAGTCCGATTCGAGTCCGGTTCGCGCAAATTTTCTACGCGCCGTCGGTGAATCTGTTTCATTGCACCTTCATCCATATTCTCAGCTTTACTGACGTGCCAATTAATGGTTGGGTCCCAATTTAGGATCTCAGTAGAGCACCAATGCTTGACTGCCAAGTTCCAACTGCAGTCATGACATGACTGTCATGTACTTTTCTAGTAAGACTTCAAGTTGTTTGCAGCCTAACTAATATACGTAATATTAATTGTACTCCACTGTGTCAAGACTCAAGAACTTCCGAGCCGAATACGCCACTCGATACGCCACTCGATAAGCCGCTCTTCGCTACGTCACAGGTGATCAGCACCTCAAGGCAGTACACCGGAATAGCTACCATCTTCTTGGCAGTGCAAGCAGTCCTATTGGTGCATATCTGTTCCCGGCCCGCGACAGCTCATTTGATGCCGTTTTCTTTTCAAGCACCCAAACCTTTATCATGGTATACGTTTCTTCCGCAGCGTTTGTGCATGATCCCGCGGGATCATGGCTACAGAAGAAAGCCCCCTCCTAACGTCAAGCAGCGATGACCATAAAACTTCGCACGAAGTGGTTTATGACCGGTTTACGCGAGGTCAGAAGAGGTGGATCGTGTTCATTGTCTCTTGTGCGGGTTTGTTACCAAGTAGGTGGTCTAGGTGTTCGAATACACTACATGCTGATGAACGATATCTATCAGAGTTCGTTGCAGCGTCACTCGTCCCCTCCATCCCTCAGGTAGCTGAAGAACTTCATTCCACACATGCTGCTGTCAGGTGCGTAATGTGGCTAAACGATGTAGCAACTAGCGCTTAAATTGTGCCTTTCTAATATAGCTTGACGGTCAGTCTGTCGACCTTTGCGACTGCCGTCGGAACGCTGGTTTGGGCTGCGTATTCGTCTTTCTGTGCGTTCATTCATGATGTGGTCGTTTGTCTCAAGTTATAAATATCGTGCAGATGGACGCCGAAAAATGTATTTATGCGGGATACCGTTTTTATGCGTCGGTAGCTGTGGTGTCGCGATGGCAAATTCGTTGTGGGGTCTACTATTCTGGCAGTTCGTTCAGACCTTCGGATGCTCTGGAGGGTTGTCGTTGGGTGCTGGCGTCATTGGTGACATATACAAATTGGAGGAGCGCGGCATTGGTATTGGGATATTCTTGGGTGTGAGGGATCATTGTGATTGGATGATCTATTGATTTTGCAATACTGACACGGCTATTTCAGGCCATGCTTTTCGGGTTTGCTGTTGCTCCGTTCCTTGGAGGTAAATATTTTTCTGGGATGTTTAGGCATGCTGAATCTAGCAATGGTATTTGAACAGGTGTGGCAGCGCAGTATTGGTCCTGGCGCAATTTGCACTATTCCCTTGCTGTGTGGGGCTTGCTCGAACTGTTTCTAATATACGTTTCTGTTCCTGAGACGAGCCATCCCGGCACATTGGGCATCGATAAACTAAAGCGAAGGAGATGGATCCATATCACATGGGTGAATCCTCTGAGTTGTCTTTGGCTACTTCGGAGTCCGAACCTATTTGCGGTTGTGAGTGCGTATAACCCGTACCTTGCGTCGGTACAAACTCTTGGCTGTGTGCGTTGTAGATGCTTGCGTCGAGTCTAGCGCTCATCAGTGACTATGGTGAGTCGATACAACTCCTCAGTGCGTTCTCACACAAAATGATGCAGTTCTCCTCGTACCGCTGGCGTACACTATCGTAAGCTGATAGTCATCTTCCATATCGCAAACTAATTGCGGTACATATAGGGTGTAACGTATGGCATCACGAACAAAGCCATTATTGGAGCGTGCTTCCTCCCCAATGGACTCGGAAACTTCAGTAGGTATAAATGATTGTGGTCGCAGATCATCAACTCAATCTTTGATAGTCGGGGCACCGCTTGCTGGCTGCTTATCAGATGTTGTAATCAGCAAGTGGCAGAAGAAGCGCAAAGGAGTGTGGTCTCCAGAAGACCGATTGAGAGCGACGTGGATCGGAGGGATGTTCATGGTTCCATTATCCATTGGAGTGTCGGGGCTGCTCACAGCGTATGTTGGCGGTCCGATCGGTCTTGTGTTGAATTTATTGTGTCTTTTTGTCAATGGAATTGGGGTAGGTCCTCGCGGCTAGTCTGTCTTCCCTCAACTCATTGTTTCTTAAAGGTGGTCTTCGTGTTAAACCCAATTGGTTCTTATAATGTGGATGTAGTGCATTCGCGAAGCGCAGAAATCACAGCTGCTAACGTGTCAGTCTTCATCATATGACGTGACCCACGCAGTCGCAACTCACTAACTCATCTTCAATTGTCTTCCAGCGGTGTCAGATCATTCATTTTATCTATTGCAACCGCCCTTGTTGTCCCATCGATCGAACACATTGGTGTTGCGTGGACGGACGTCATTGTGGCTGTTCTTGCACTTCTCGGACAAGGGTCAGGGTTCTTTTGACTGCACGATTGAAGACTGACACTAATTTTTTTATATAGGATCATTTTTCTGACGATTCGTTATGGGGGTCGTATGAGAGCCAGCGTGGATGTTGGTTTCTCGACCATAGAGAATAATTGATTGAATGATGTCACGAAGGACGAACTTCGTTTTGGGAAGATCTGTCATATCGGCTTGAGGACCTTGAGCGAAGTTCGTACCATATAATGCCATGTATAGTACTGATGTATGAATTTCTAATGATGTATTCTTCCATTTCTTAATACCCCGCAAATCGTTGATGTGTCGTGCCTTGGGAGATTCGTGTTGTGAATGTGGCTGTGTTGGGAAGCCAACTTAGAGCTGCAAAGTTTTCACTGAGGATCATCATCGGATAACCACTTGTTGTTCCCGACTGCTATAGAATGCGCACATCACTCGCCCCAAATTCAAAATATCGTCACGGCGGTCCCCCTTGAGCCTTTTCATGATTTTCTGAAAAGCGACAATATTATCATCTGTCCATGTCATTAAGTTCTTTCAAACTTCAAGTTTTTCACTCCTCATACAATAGATTTTAGGACTGGAATTCAACGCGTTCCAGCAATACCTTCACGAAGATGTAGGGGTTCAAATAACGTACCAATCCCGTTCAGCCAGCAAACGTTTCTCCGCAACGATCATTGCATGCACCCGACGGCCCATTCCGGCTCTCGCCACTGCCACAGACAACCGCCTGAGCGATCATCGATCATCTCTAGATTCTATTTGACGATGATGTCGCATGGCTCAACGGACAACTACACTCACAGCTCTCCAAGCTGTGCGAGATCAAATTTCGATCAGTAAATTCTGACTTGTATTGATATACCTCACCGTAATGGAGTGCCCTAGTCACAGATATGGCCTCACAGCTGCTATAATTGGCGTCAGCATCAAATATATCCCGATGGATAAGTTCCAGCTGGTAGTTTTCCCGTTCGAGTGGTGATTAGGTTTCGCGGCGCGCCGGTCATGTACAGTCTGGTTGGAACTTAACTCCATCAGCTAGCCAACACCCTCGAACATCATTCATTTCGACAAATACAAATACGTCCATCCAGCCACAAGTTGATTTGTCCCCATGAACTTACCCAAGTTGGCGCATTCACCAACAGGCTGGATCTTGCGTCAACACGTGCATCACTCGATTACTTAATTGTTATCTTCGCCTCTCAATGGGCGGCGGGCCGTTCTCTACTGGATGGTTATCACCGCTGATTTAATGAACAGCGGATCCTGTTGACCATGTCATCGGTATGACAAGAGCCACCACACTGTGACACTCAACAACTCGGACTAGCTTATTATCCTGGGTATCAAAAGTCATCCGCGTGTGCTGCGCCCGTGATGTTATTGCCGCTCTCGTTTAATGAATGCGATAACCGCTATCGCAGGATGAAGAACTGTAATGGGCGGTCAGATATGATGCTGCGCATTCGTGGCGGATGGTGTTTATCACACAGTTTCGTTCATCCTGACCATCGTGATCGTCTGACAGCGTGTAAGGCACACTTAGAGGAACTTTCTCAGGCGCTAGGGAACGATAGTTGGGAGTAGGACGCATGGTGTTCAGATGCCGCGCGGATATATCAGCGTGAACATGTTCTTCAGGGTCGATTTGTTGAGGGAACTGCGAGCTAGCGAGATCTCCACCTGACTCCCTTTCTACTACTTGTACGCACCGTTTTACGGGACTGAAACAGTATTCGTTTGTAGACCACAGAGGCCATGCTCGTTGCTCGTTAGTCTTAGCCACCTTGGAGCAGCTGTCGGTTATTAGGTTATGTAACCCTAACCCTAAAGTAAGGTTTGAGCTCATCGGATACACCTTCCCGTAACCGAATAACCGAATATCCTCAGGCTGTACTTGGTGTGCGCAGCTTGAAAACCTGAAACATCTCTATGGACCACCGACGTCCTCTCACACTATTTGTCTTTAAGACCCCATGGAAAGCGCTCACCACACTCTACAGAGCGCCAAAGGCAAGTCCCACAGTCACCTCGACGCCATCGAGCTCGCGGCGAAGGAGTTCCATGTAGATACCAAATACGTGGATCTGGTTATCAGGGTAAGCGTTTGTTTCATTGAGGCGTGCTGGGTGCAAATGAAGGGTTCTGAAGTTTATTGGGGCGTCGGATCTTGCAAGGGTGCATGTTATTGGCACGATGAACCCGTGTTTTCACGCTACACTTGACGACAAGGTTTCGTACACGTGAGTATTTTACTGTCTGTTTATTGACACTGGCCTACTTTCTCGCAGGTCGTCTGTCAAGCCGAATACCCTCTCCCCTGTTTGGGATGAGACTTGGATCGTAAAGACGGTTCCTTCCACAGCTACCTTGTCGGTGGTAGTACGAGAGATAGAGACTGGAGCACTGTTAGATAATGATGTCGGTGTGTTTCAGACCACTGTAACTCCAGGAACGAAAGAGGTCGAAATAGTCGGCAAGCGTCTTGGTCGAAATAAAGGGTCATTTTGGTTGAACGTATGTCTGCCCCACATTTGATCGCCATAGATTGTGCTTATCAACGTTTGATTCTATCATCTCTCAAGATCGAATCCTCTCCGTCGGTTCATGATTCAAGATCACTACCATACTCGTTTGATGGCCCGATCCACTATTCTCAACACGACTCACCAACAATGGGTGTTCTTACTCATCTCAGGGACACGCGGTTGTATTCGACATGGAAAATCTATATGAAAGGCATTCCACAGATCTTTGGGGATACGGTGCAACGATGGAACCACGATTACAAGGCCGCAGAGGCAATGTTCAAAGGACCTACATCAATTGCAGTGCGTTCCGGCATCATGGCTGGCCACCGCATGTTATACGCCCGGACCGTTTTGAATGGTTTTGGGGTTATCACAAGTGCCGATGATGTGTTCAAGCTGCTGCGAGGCAACTCGCGTCGAACATCGGGTGACGGCAATAGCGCATTTGAAAATCGCATCAAACCCGCAGTATACACGTATGTTATCACCGAGGAAGACGAGACCTTCCGTTTCTCAGAGACAGGGGCGACATTCTTCGTAGACTTTGCATCGAAGCATGCACTGCATAGCAACTGCGCAGAAAGCGTAGTGTACGGAGGGGAGTTTCACCCTCGCCCAGAAGGTGGCTGGGAGAACTTCTCCGATTATACGGACGATAGCAGTGTGAGATGGGAGTTGGTGATTGATAACGATTCTGGGACATATTCTCCTAATCCCGATCTGCTGGCTAAAGTGGCGCAACTTCTGGAACTCAATTTTACGGGGATCAATGTAGTTGCGCTAACACAGGACGATCCGGAATTGAAGAAGAGTATAGAGGCGTGTAGGGAGTATGCATTGACGAAAAGGGGGGTGAAAAGTACGGAGTTGGAGCCTCATGCCACTGAGGGCGAAGAGACATTATCGGATCGGGTCTCAGCACTTGAGAAGACCTAATTATTGAGGATGATGTCGTTGTCAGGTGTTAGAGAGCAGGTGACACGGTTGATGTAAAGATAAATGCGTTAGATAAAAGGAAATGATCTATAGTGCTTTATTTAGTAGTGGTTCAACATCGTGGATCTCCTGCAGGCCCATCAAGGAAATCACCGAACACGAGTTTCTCAGCCACAAGCGTCTGGTTGGGCACGAGGAGACGGTGTCAAGCACTGCAACGCTCTTTGATTCGATATCTCGTCCAAAGTAAATTCCTCTGTTTCTTCTGTCTTTTGTGATGTCTTGCAACCTTTGATGTCAATTGTAAGTTCTCTGTTCTTGTTTTTTTGTCTGCTTGTTTTTTTTTGTTGATCAGACTTGGCGCTCGTTGTAGGGCTTGAATATCGGTGGACATAATGAATACCAGGGATAATTTGACTAGGGCTGCCCTAGTTCAACACCTATCCTCTCTGAATGATTCCTCCTTGCTCAAACCAGAACCGCAGCCCGTGTTTAGTACCCTCGCTCCACTCTGCTCGCAACCTTGGCAGTCGATTCCTAGCTGCAGCAGTAACCGTAACCCTTTGTTCTCCTTTTTTTCGGAGGAGGACTTTCCCCCTCTCAAGTCTAAACACACACAAGGCGTGCCTGGTCCTTCCAATCTTGTGAAGCACTCTGGTCCGGTGAGCTTATACCCGACTCCACCCTCCAGCGCTTCTCCATCAAAGTGCACCATCCCATTACCAGAAGAAAGAGGCGAATTTACTCCCATCTTCACTACCCATTCACCAGGCGTCTTGGACTCGCCTATCGTTATGCGCCGCGAGGACCTTGCTTGTCATAGACCTCTAACGCCACCGCCGACGCAATTGCTCTGTAATATGGAGTTGCCAGGCTATGAAGATGATGACGATGATTCGATGTTTGAGGAGAGTGGGCACACAACTCCTCATCAGGGTGATTTCGAAGAGGATTTTTACGATGGGATATCTGCCATGTCGGATAGTTCCGCAGAATCGGATTCTCCGCTCTCGCCTCTATCACCACCCTGGAAACCACCCGAGCACGGTCTGGCGAAGTCCCCTTGGAATGATCCACCCTCCCCCAATTTTTCTTGGTCTCCCTGTTTAGGGAGCGAAGACATTGGCGATGTGTCTATACCAGTATCCAACGAAATAACGTCCTTCTCATCTGATCAGGTGCCCTATCTTCTTGGCGTTGATCTGCCCCGTCCCAAACTCGTGCCCCTCCACATACCCTGGTCATCACACCAACACATACCCATGCATCAACTAGATGAGCATCCCCCATCCTCCCCCCACCGTTCCGCGCTCTCATTGGCAGACATGGACATCGATGATCCTCCAGAGCTCAGAGCCCCTCATCTCTCCCTTTCAGGTCTCCCCGAGCTAGAGCATGAAAAAGCGCTACCCCCGTATACCACCATCATCTCCCAGCAGGCGGTCCTGCTCCTCTCTGCCCGACGACACAGACAACCTACCATCATCTCCTGGCCCATCTCTCCTATCGCTCCCAGGTGCTGACACAGACGACGACCTCCTCCCCGGGGAATCCGCATTTGTGCCCCTCACATCATCCCAAGGCGTCCCGTTCGTCACTAGCCAGCCACTTCTGTTCATTCATGATCCGAGGGATGTGCCCCTCCCACGCTCGCCCTCGCCCGAGGATTTCCATCTCTGCCTTTCTGTGCACGACATGGACGGTGACCCTGAGCTCGCACAGCTCTTCGAGTTGCGCAAGCGCTCACTTGCTGCAGCGCAGGGGCTGCCCGATGGCCCAGAGTGCACAGACACGTACACACGTAAGTCGAAGAAGAAGCGGGAGCGGGAGAGGAGCGCGGAGGTCGGAGCTCTGCTCAGGTTGAAGCTGGGCGACAAGCTCGGCATGGATGTAAATGAAGGGAAGAGTCCTGAACGCCGCAAGAAGGGCGTCATAGGGAGCATATCCCAGCTAGTCGCGCAGATGGTGTTCCGGCGGCACGAGGCCTCACGACCGCTGACGAAACGCAAACCAGTGCTGTCTGTGCAGGAATATGTGCATTCTCCACTTTCGACATATAATGCTGTTGATTCATAGTTACCGAGATTGGATTAGTGGCTGTTTTTTTAGGTGCGTGGGCTTGGATTACGCGCATTTTGGGTGGGGTACTTATTTCGGGTGCGTGGATCGTGGTGTAGACTTCGGAGGTGCATTGTTTGGCACTGTACGTTCAAGTGTTATGTTGTTGGACTATGTCCTTGTATGCCTTTAGCTTGTAATCACCATTGACGGAACCGCTCTCACAAATCCCCTTGTTTACCATCTATTGGATTTATGCTTGCAGATATACGGATAGGCGCTCGTATGCTACGGGACAAAAAATGTAACTACGTCGAAGACTACATAACTCCAATTCGTTGTACATCATATATGCCAGATTCATAATATCTATGTACTTCCGTTATTACCGTCTTGATTCTTTACATGCATTCATTGAAAAGGTGTTCAAGCTTCGCAGCTTCGAGTGGGAAAATTTCAAAAGTTCTGATCTGATTCTCGAGAGACTATCATTTGATCCCGTCGATTTGATTGTGGCGTTGGGAAGCTGATGTTACACGAGCTCGAGCCTCAGTACGCAGGTTGTCACTGATACGCCCCTGAGCAAGATAGTGCGGAAGCGGTAAGCGTATGATACGTGGGTGTGTACCCTATATACGTACTGTAAGTATGTAGTTCATGCTGACGTCCGTTCCGCAGCCCCGAACTAAGTCCAACCGAAACCATCATTTAAAATTACTCCAAAGCTCAGAAAAGTGTGTGCAATACGTATTGCACTGCGCGCCTGCGGTTCATATTCATATCATTGAGTAACCAGAATTTGATTGGCTTACAACTCGGACACAGAGCGATGATACTTATGCAGGCCTCGAAGGTCGGCAACATTTACATGCATTGGAATAGCACACGAGCATAGATTGTAGATCTGGACATGCCGCAAGAACTTGCCATTCCGAACATGGACACGTACAGACGCTTAGGGCGTAAGACCGTCAGCTTGAAAGATAGATCTAGAGTTCACTTGAAAAAAAAAACCTGCGCAGGCGGATATAAGCGGATCGGTAAAATTTGTTGGGCATTGCATTGGCTTTGCGTGGGCAATACTGCCTGGACATTCAATATTCAACTTCGGTCGATCTTATGTTGAACAAGTTTGTTACTTCATGTCTTCCATGTGTGCTATTGCAATTAAGAGTCTATAAGATACGAGGAAACAAATAGTAACCGTAAACTGGACCAAGATACGGAGTCGCAGAAAGAAACCTATAGTTCTGTCAGCAATCTGTAGGGTAAGAAAAGTCAGTTTCATCATCTAGAGGAAATGACAGATGATGCTTACTTTCATACTTGAGAGAGGAACTTGCACCAGCTTCATAACGCGATTTTTTCTTGTCCGGCTCAGAAACTTCATCACTGGGGAGTGGACGTTTGTAGTTCGACGTGTGATGTCTGCAACCAGGTTTCAAGATGTCAACGTTTATAGTGCACCCGAGCGCAATGTAATCAGTAAAACCCACAATATCATTTGTCGAACTTAATCGATCCAAACGAGTACACTCAATATTTGGTTTATATTGTAGATTTGAAACCCCACTCACATGCCATAGATTCCGCCTCGATGGGATATTTCTCGACAGCGGTCAGCATCGCGTTGACTTGCTCACGACGCGCAATGAGGTCCTCGATCATTTCCTGGTCATTGAATAAGCTAACAAGTGCGACCAAGGATTCCACCTTCTTCAGGTAGGCGCGGATGCTGACTAAGGTAAGTTTTGAGTTTGCGGCCGTCATGACTGCGTTACGGTTAGGTCCCCGCCCTAACGGATCAATCTGCACCACTTACCTAGCCATTGCTCTTCAACTTCCTGACCCTTCTTCTCGATACTGTCGACCTGCCGTTTGATAACCTTCCGATGCCCTGCTCCACGACAATACCAACAATGCGGTGATAAATGTCATGATGGATGGCACAATGAAGGTTCCGTCGGTGAATGCATCGTCACCGAACAATGCATCGGCCAATTTGACGGAAATGGCATGCTTCAACTGCGCAGCTTCCATCGTCGGAAACTAAGCACTACGGATTTATCATATTATGAGATAAACAGATTAGCACATAACTCACATCATCGGTGATTTTGCACTTCAACCTTGCCATGACAACATGCGGCTCGCAACCACTTTCTTCTAAGATGCAGTCAACCAGTTTGTTGATGTTCCATTTGGCCCATGACGTCTTAACCCAGGCATTCCACGCAGTACGACCTTCATGGTCTTTATCCTTCCCTTTCACAGCGTGCTCTGCGGGATCCTCGGCCGCCCTACATTTATTCATGAAGGCTTCGACTGCCTGAGCCGTGTCCACTGTCCATTCAGCGACATGGGTTACACCCCTACCATGGTCGTACGCCCACGGGTCGCCAGGAATGCGTGTTAGAGACTGCCATACCGGATTGGACCATGGCAGCGCTGGATCGGCGATCCAGAGTTGGATCAGAGCAAAAGAGAGTGGAGTGGTTGGCATTTTGGGTGGTGAGTTGGATTATTAACCATCGCTAGGCTCTTTTATTACTCACCTTAAACCACAAGCCACGAGGCTGCTATTCGGTACGCACATCCGCCAGTTCCTGCCGTCCAGTTCAGCATTGCAGCGTGATTAGCGCCAGGCGCTGAGCATGTTGAGTGTGGCGGCCTAGTTATCCTGCTGTTGGCGTCCTTAACCAAGGCGTCGGGTTGGCTTGTTGTTCTGCTCCTTCCATGACTAGCATGTTGCATTAATTACGCCCAAACTCAAGAGGCCTGGCTCGCCAGGTGAAATTGAATACACTGCTGACTAAGCTAGGCAAATGGTGGCAAACAGCCTGCTCCCATCGTATGTCTGTTTTCTGAACTTAGCCAGGAGTCAGCATCAGTTTGACCGCGTGTCACAAGGGAGATATCATTTCCAAAGTTATTGATCTCAGGAAGTGCACACCGATGCCCCTTCTTACAACTGGAATACCATGACCTCACTCCAACTTCAACGTCTAGTGGCACCTATTTATGCATGGATTAGGCGGAAGACCTTATTGTCACCGGTATTGAAATTGCTGAACTATTCCGACTTCAAGTACCAGATTCACCTTCTCACTATCTCTACGGGCGAGGGACATCCTTTGACTCATGAATTCCTTATAGTCAACGGTAGATCCCCCCGCGAAGTCAAGGGTGGTACAACCTTTCTATCAAAACATGGGTGAGCCGCTGCCTCAGAGATCGCCTTACACTCTGCGATATTTTGAACAATTTACTTAGGAGGTCAGACATACTGGACGTTGTACGTATGGAATTGGCATCAAGGAGGTCCAGCTGAATAGGTCTCGTCCTGTCTACCATTCAAAGAGCTGGATTGAGCATTTAAGGGACGTTGTTCGTGTTCGGCGAAGGCCGTAGCATGTCTGACATCCGCTTTATTCCTACGGCGAAGCTTTTAATTCTCGCGTCACACGGACATGGAGAGTTATACAACATCGAGGACCTGACAACGGCACTGCAGCTTCAAGCAAGCTTTGCACTATCCGTTATTGGGCAGCCTTTCTACTTCCGATTTCTTTCAGGATTTCATAGTGCCTCAAATTGTGCACGCCTCGTACCAAAAGAGGAGCATTGGATCTGGACGAAGATCAGTAACAGTCGTGGAGGGGGCCCCGTCATTATCTTATCGTATCCGCTCGCATTTTTTCTGGACCATTCCTCTGACATGGTTCGATGCGAACTCAAAAAATGGACAAGTTGATCCATGGTCATTATTGGGGTCCGCAGAATTCTCGCTACATTCCTCGCTAGTACTGGGCGTTGCAGGATCTTGTGCCATATGGCCGGCTCCCGTATCAGTCCCGTCTAGTTTGACACTTCCGGTTCAAGTTGTGCATAATCAATTTCAATCCCTATGCCGTTCAGCAGGGTTTTGGCAAATGTGCCAAAAATCAGCGTAACGTCCGAAAGCATGCTCCGAGACACTGATTAAATGTAGACAAGCCACCAGTCCGACTAGAACCACCCGTATACTAAAAGGAACACGACTCCATAAAGGTCGCACCGTTTCCACTCATGGAGGCTCAAGCCCATGCGATTGTGCACGTTTTCCGATCCTTCATCTCTGGATCCTATTCGCAGAAACGGTCGATAATGATAGCATTACTCGCGCTGACAAACTTGGACGCGCTGGTGCCTCAACACCTCTAGACATCGCCAAAGCTTGGTTCCGATTCGACAGTGAAGACCAATGGAATTATCGAGACACGTTGCATCAATTTGCGTAGGGCATGGGGTCTGGGACTCCGATCATGCATCAAAGTCATAGAGTGGGAGAATGAATGATACGATCTGAAAATGGAATTGAGGTGGGGATGGGAAGATTTGGAGAGGAGGATTCGAGTAAGTGGCTGAGAGACGTCAGGAAGGATGGAGTGCAGGATTGGGTAGGGCGGATAATGCCAGGAGTCGAAATAACTTGTTGGGAAGATTGTGATCACACAGCGCAAGGTGACAACCTCTCGTGTGCAAACTAACTAGTGACGTGCATGGCCAGGGCTCAGTCCCGCTGGCCCGCCCAGCCCAGCCCAATAGTTGGGCTGACTGGGGCTGAGGACCGGGTCCACACTTGCTCCAGGCCCACACCCAGGGCTCAGGCCCGGGCCGACTCAAGACCCTCTTGGTCCATGCCATCCATTTCAGGGCGACACTGGATACATTGCTCCTGTAAAGCAAGATCGCAGATCTGGAATCAATGTTACACGGCTTCAGTGGGAACTTAGTGACGAAGACGATGACGACAGTGACATTCAAGTTCCATCCACAATGGCAGCATCCGTCGATCCATGGAAACATTGGCTTCAAGACTTCAACTATTATGTTAACACATTTGACCAGCTCGCCGAAAACCAGACAATTGTACAGGTGGGGGGTAAGTCATTCTCAAATCCTGATTCAATTACTGGACGACAATATTGAATTTATTGGAAGTTAAATGCAACTAAGTATGGGACAGTCTGGACGGCAATTGCTCGTGACTTCTTAGCAATCATGACCTCATCCGTCTCGAGCGAGCGAGCATTTTCGTCAGCAGCGTTAACAAATACAAAGCGCTGTAACCATCTCAAGGGCAACGTCATTGAGGTATTGCAAGTTATGAAATGTCTTCTCCGTCGCGACCCTGATTTTTCGTGAGTTGTGACCGTCATTGACTGAAGATCCTGCAGATGATGACGAGCTTCTCGAGAGGGGGGGGGGGCAGACGAGTTGAGTGAAGAAAGTGTTGAAATTATTCAAAATTGAGTCATATACTTCGCTATATGTGATTTATAAATCTTTGTATGGACCGTTTACAACTTCAGGCCCAGGCTTCAGCCCAGCCCAAGCCCAATGTCAGGGCCGGGCTATGATTTCACGAACCCCATGCCCACTCAAGCCCTGGCCCGGCCCTGGGCTTGCGGCCCAATCACGACCTGCACATCACTAAAACTGACACATTACTACACAGTGCATATTAGCTCAACACCAGTACTGTCGTAAAGAAACATGTAAGGATACTATATCCTTTACGCGTTACTCCCCGACCAAGACTTCAAACGAAGACGCTCGAAGACGTCCTCATCGACTCGGATGCGATCTTCGCATCCGAGACAGGATACATCGGATACATTTTCATTTCCTTTCACGATCTTACCTTACCATATGCTCATTCTGGCCTAGTGAGCTATTCGAAAACGTATATATGTAGCCCATGTACACTCATATCGATAGCAGAATCTCACTCAGTGATTTCCCCGCTCCAAGCACGTCCGAAAGTCTCCGTCTCTTATCGTTTTTAACGCTTGTCGGAACTCATCTTCGTGTTGTCAATACACACGTCTTATTTCTACTTATCTTGAAACTATTCCCTGTCGAACTCATTGCCAGTTTTACAAACATCCCTCACCTCCACAAGAAATCGTATAACCACTCCGGTCCGCACGATCCTATCGGAATATTATTTGATCTACCTATTGCCTGCCTTAGAGCGAGTCACTTTCCTACACCTATATATATGCTGATCATCATCTTATCATCAAAAAGTAGCTCACTGACTTCTCATCACTAAAAGGTAATAGCATGAGTTTCCAAAGCCCAACATATCAACTCAGCGGTACACATCTCGTTCATGGTGATCGCGGACCAGGAACTGAAGTAGCTCCTTCTGTCTCTGTCACCTCACGTGAGTTCTCCGCTGCTAGCTAGGACAGCAGTTCATCATCTATGCAGCGTTCAGAATTGTGTCTCATGGCGATCCCAAGGGCCATGGAGCGATGGATCCTGAGAAACATATCTATTCCCGCTATTCGCAAGATGTCACATCGAGGGTGGAACAGATCTTGAGCAAAGTTAATGTAGGTCTCATTACAAGAACGATCGGAGCATGCCTGATTTGCGTAGCACGGATATGCAGTCACCTATGCATCAGGATTGGCTGCTGTATTTTCTGTGAGTTGGCGTAACATGTTGATGTAACATGCAGGTGGTTGACCAATGTGACCCTATGGTCTGATAGGCTCTTGTCCACTTCAAACCCAAACGCATTGCGATTTCCAGAGGATACACGGGCTGTCACGGCGCCATATCCACTTACACAAAAGGGAGGTTTGCTGATACCCCGATCGTTGGCCTAGACGACGAATTCCAAGAGGGAGATCTCTGCTGGCTCGAGAGTCCCTTGCACCCTACGGGCGAATCGAGGCAAGTCTTCGAGCTGCTTTGATTTTTAAAAATCGATGATCTGGATCCCCGTCAGAAATATTCAATATTATGCGGACAAGGTATGTTTCAAAAGAACATAGATTATTAGCAGGGGTGCTCATGTGCCGTCACTAAGATCCATGCTGTCGGAGGGAAGTTGTTGGTAGATTCGACTCTTGGTCCTCCGCCTCTTCAATACCCATTCAAATGGGGGGCAGACTGCGTACTTCACTCCGGTATAGTAATTTTCATCCCAAGCACGACATGATAACATCTTGATCTGTCGCAGGAATCAAGTACTTTGCAGGCCACTCAGATCTGTTCTGTGGAATACTTATCGTCAGGACCGAGGATGAACGTAAACAGGTATTTGTTATAGAATTCCCAAACTAACTGAAGCCCATTTTTGTCAGCTCTGGCACGACCGTGCGCACATGGGAAATATAATGGGGTCCATGGATTCTTGGCTTTTAATACGATCCCTTCGAACGATGCATCTGCGTGTCTCAAGGCAATCAGGCAAGTGGCACGGAACTCGTACAATGGCTTAGCAGAGCCATTGTTCCAGAGGGTCAGGAGTACGATGGTATTCCCGGTGGGGTGATCACCAAAGTTTGGCACTCGAGCCTTCAGGAGACTGATGGCGATGGGTTTAACCCTTCGGTACAAATGGAAGGTGGATTCAATGCCTATTTCTCACTCTTGGTGCGTAAACGCGCGCACAATGCATAATTCTGTCCTCATTCGAATGAAAGCTTTCAAAAGAAGAGTACGCGGAGAAGCTTCCGCACTCACTGGAGCATTTTCATGTGGTAAGACACTTCCACTAGGGAGTGAGTGCGTTGATGACTGATGTACCTCAGCCGGCAACTAGTCTTGGTGGTGTTGAGTCTTTGGCACAGCAGTACATCAGGGTGGATCCGAAGGAAAATCCCCTTCTCGTATCCCTAAGCATTGGTGTAGAAGAAGTGGAGGCGAGTCTCAGCGTGACTTACTGGTTTTCTTTTGGTTGAACATTCGCATCTTTAGGACCTGAAGAACGATTTGCGAAGGGCACTGGTGGAGATATCGAAAGGAGTTTAAAGCGAACAGTGCATGGAAGTCATACCGTTTGTGAAAACAGTTACACAAGGTGACTAGTCTGGATTCTGGAAGCTAGAAATATTGTGGCTGGAACAGTGTACAAACTAGTGATGAGTTTAAAGCCGCTTACCGTCACACTATTAGTAAATGTTACTTTCAGAAGGCTTTGCCAAACAGAACTACACACACAATACATCGTTTGGACGTGTCCGAGTCCGACAGCCACCGTCCACGTTAGCCACCTTATTACTTACGTCCCATATCCAACTACTCCATCTTACAGCGTTATACGAGGTCAAACGCAAGAGGTCTTTCTAAATGAGCGATCGATTTGGACAATGATTTCTTTGATGCAATGTGGGGTTTTGACTCTGAGGCCGGCTTCGGCACCTTGACGAAGAGTGTGCCAGGCTTTGTCGTCCCATCTGTTCTGGACGCGGGTATGCCATATTACCATTGTTGTCCTCAGCACAAATAAAACTACATGCAACTCTCGCAGCCTGCTGCATTCTTGAGGTTACACCGATAATCATGCAGACCAGAATCAAAATTCAGCACATAACAACCACGCTTGCGTTTAGATTCCAAGGCGCCGTAATTATGGCTGTCGACTCGCGTGTTACCGCTGGAAGCTATGTCGGTATGCACATATTAGGGAGCATTGTTGCTTTTTTAACACGGTCATTAGCATCTGGAACAGTCAAATTAACCCTTACTTGCTGGGAACGATGGCTGGTGGTGCTGGTATGAAATTGACCCTCTTTGTTTATTGGCTTTGACGCATCCTCTTCAGCTGATTGTCAGTACTGGGAAACATACCTTGGCATGCATTGTCGATTGCATAAACTCAGAAACCGAGAACGGATATCAGTATCAGCTGCTAGCGAATACTTGAGCAACCTTGTGTATAGCTACAAGGGAATGGGTTTGAGCATCGTCAGTTTTTATATGCTATGTCTCTTGTTAAGTCCGTTAACAGTTTTTAGAGTGGCCCGAATTAGCAGCACAGTAGTCCTTGCATATTAGACACCGTTGAGTACTCTTTCAAGGGAAACGACTCAGGACAGCACATTTCGTGCAAAATGTGGTGTCGTGGATCATTGACTTTACCATCAACACTGCTATAGTATTACCAGACCAACGATGACACTGTCGTAACTCAACCCGCTTCAACTTCGCATTCATATCTCTTCCTGAGGTATGTTCAAGTTCTTCGGCTTCTTCAAGTTGATTATGTTGAACTTCGAATCACTCACGATTGTTCTAGTGTTTTCGCAGTCACCTTCGATTGAATAGATTGATCATAAAGAACGACTATCTTCGATAGGTCCGTCTTCTGCTCTGTCTTCCACATTGGCTTTGGTCCCTCCTGTCTTGTTTGTCACAATGGATCAGCAACTCGCAGGCGATGCTGTGTCTGTTGTATCTAAGCCTGCTTCGCATGAACGAGTTTCGCGTTGACCTCTCTATTGATATCTCCGTCCAGTTGCCCGGGGCTTGCTGCGGCTATCGAAAGTATGTTCCGCCCCGGCATCAACACAAAATACAAGGAGCGCACGCAAACTACACATATCAGAATGATATGGCTCGGTCTGCCACTTTCAATTCTCCCACCTTTAGCTTTCGAATCATCCTCGGTCGCATTGGAAGAGCCAACGACCGAAGGAGTGTTCATCGGTGAGACTTTAGCGAGGCTGAGGAGGTTACATCATCTGCCCGACCATCAGACTCAATTTGTCCTTAGTTTGCGTGCATTCTTCTGGCCTCCAGCTCCATCAATGTTTCATTTGGTGGTGAATCCCGACAGTTTTGGACCTTGGTTAGTCCGTCGAGAATCTAGGTTGGCACGTACACATCTCAGGGATATACCTTATGTTTCTGAGACGATCCGCACGAGGCGTGAAGGTGAATTCTATTTCATGGACAGACTATCACATAAAAAGGAGGTTTCGGCGCAATGACTGGGCCTAGTTAAGACGGAGCTCTGAGGTTCTGAGGATCTATACACTGCAAAAATGTTGTCGGCAGGTTTCGAACCGACTGCAAGAGAAACAGATTTGGATTCTGTTGGGGTAACCACTCGGTTAAGATCAGTTAAGATGGGCCTCCGAGGAATCCATCCATGTGTGAATGTCAAAGTGTGTTCCGATAGAAAAAAACCTTGTGGTTGGCAGGCTTCGAGCTTGCGCAAATCCGACAGAAACATATTTCGATTCTGTTATAGTAACCACTTTGGCCAGGCGAAGTTGAAATGAACCTCCGACGAAGTGTCCATCGGTGAATCTTCAAGGCGTGTTCTGAGAGAAAAAAACCTCGTCGGCAGGTTTTGAACCTGCGCTAATGCAGTCCAAGAGACAGATTTCGATTCTGTTGGAGTGATCACTTTGGCTAAGGCGAAGTTGAGATGAACCTCTGAGGAACTGTCCATCAGCGAATCTTCAAGGCGCGTTCGGATAGAAAAAACCTCGTCGGCAGGTTTTGAACCTGCACTGGTAGTGACAGTCCAAAAGACAGATTTCGATTCCGTTGTAGTAACCACTTTGACCAGGGCGAAGTTGAGATGAGCCTCTGAGGAACTGTCCATCAGTGAATCTTCAAGGCGTGTTCGGATAAAAAAAATTCATTGGAAGGTTTTGAACCTGCACTGGTACAGTCGAAGAGACAGATTTTGATTATGTTGTAGTAACCACCTCGGTCAGGGCTAAGTTGAGATGCACCTCCGAGGAATTGGGCGTGTTCCGATAGAAAAAAAACCCTGTTATTCGGCAGGTTGCGAACCTGTGTGGTCCAAGAGAAACGGATTTTGATTCCGTTGTGGTAACCACTTTGGCGAGGACGAAGTTGAGATGAACCTCCGAAGATGAGTGAATCTTCAAGGTGTGTTCCAATAGAAAAAAACCTTGTTATTAGGCAGGTTTCGAACCTGCGAAGTACAAGAGAAACAAATTTTGATTCTGTTGTGTTAACCACTTGGACCAGGACGCTTCTTGGCCAAGTTTAGACGAACCTCCGAAGAACTGTCCATGTCCGCAGGTTTCGAATCCGCACCACAAGAGAGCACATTCCTAATCTGTTCTGGTGCCAAACGGTTAGCTACTACAAAATTTCAGGGCGAAGATCGAAAGAGAAGCAGCAAAAGTCCTACGCGATTCCCCCAGATACGCCACCCTGCACACCATAGATCCTTCCGCACCCTCAAAACATTTCGCAGACATCATAGATGACTTCCCGCGTCGCCACAGTTCACTCCTCTTCCAGCTCAAATCAGGCCACGCTCCCCTCAACAAGCACCTCCACCGAATCGCAAAGTCAGAATCACCAACGTGCTCCCAATGCGAAGAAGGAAACGAATCGGTACATCACTTCCTCTTTAAATGCCCAGCATACACCAGACAACGCAACATTCTCAGAATGGAACTGGGCACAAAGGCGCACCACGTGAAACACATCCTCAACGAGACCGAATGCCTCAAACCGTTATTCAAGTTCATCGCCGGCACAGGAAAATTCAAGCCAGTCTTCGGAGATGTATCACCCCCCCAAGAGAAAAACAAGAAAAGAAACTAAAACGAACCATGTCTTCCCCCCCACTGTAACCAATATCGTTTCACCTTCAGCTGGTGTTATCGTCCACGCCCCGGCCAGGACCACTGTACAAGACCCACCATACATAAAAACGCACATAAGTAGATAGATTAGCAACTGCATGTATTGTCTAACATAGGGCTACGCCCCAACGGACAATAAACAAGGATCCAAAAAAAAAAAAAAAAAAATAGGCCTTGAAAAATCCATCCACCAGTGAATGTTCAAGGCGTGGTAAAGGGAAAAGATTGTTTGTCCTCGGTTACGAGTCGAAGAACATCATGCATTGACAGTAGAATCACATGTCACATTCCTACAGCTGCAAACGTACACTGTTGCAAGGTGCACCTCTTCCACATATCTCGACGGCCGGTAGACAGACTGCATCCCCTTTTTGCAGGAAAGAGGGGTATTAGCGCAAACCTCCAAGCAGGTCTGAGCATCATTGGCGGGAATTGCGTTCACCCCAGCGAAAGCGGCAAGAACGGCGAGGTAGACGAACTGAATAGGCTTCATGGTACCTGTCATGACCATGCTTTAGTAATGGCGCTCAGTACTAGGAAAAATACCCACCAACAAAAGTCTTGTCGTGCGAGGTACGCAAAGTTGCTATGGCAGGTATTAGAAGAGTTCTATGCCGGTTTCAGTGATATGCGGATACTGTAGCGCAAGAGAGCCACTCACTTGAAACGAGGTGTTCGTTTCTGAGGCTGTTGAAACTCAACCGCGTTGAATTTATATTATTCTTGAGGTTTGTGCTGGTGCGACAGGGCGGACCTCCGGAGGGAGTTTTGCACCTTACAATCAGACATGACACAATGCATCGGTACCCTTTAGACTAGATAGTACTGACCGACATATGGTTGATTACCCCAACTGGACATAAAACTGGATTTGTTTGGAGTAGTACGACATACTGCTACATGGTCGCACCTAGATCTTGATCTTTGACACGCGGGAGACGTATGACACTACGTGGCGAGAAGAACTGCTTGGCAAAGGGGTTCGTTAGCTGAGGGTCGCTCTAGGCTATTATAGTACTCGTGTCCACTCGAAAGGCTGGCCATAACGGTTCATGGCTGTCTCGGTTTCTTCGGAATGGCTCTCTTTGACAGAGGGAAAAAGTATGTCGAAGGTGAGCACAGCACACTGGTCAAAGCATGATATTATTGTTTACCGTTTGTAGTGCTGGTGGAGAAGGCCGGTAGCCTGACTGGTGGAGTGGCTGGATGGTCCTGGTCAAAGGGGTCTCGCAAATATTGTGTGACAGTAACGTGACTATTATTATGTGACCCGAGAAAACAAAGTTAGAGCCAGTTCGGTAACCCAAGGTAAGGTGAGTTTGCCACCTTGAAACGATTATATAATGTCGGCATGGTGGTCCCGGTTTGAAGCCCGATGATGGAGCTTGAACTTCCCTTTGACATGTCTGCATGCATACCTCGGTATACGACTAAAGATCTACGAGATCGGAACGACATCTGGGCTAGTGTCGTGTCTATAGTGTTATCTGCTCAAGTCCACATTCTTTCTATGGCTCAGCAATCATCTCATGCAGACAGGGCGGTCTGGACTGACACAGAGACTGATCAGCTTGTCCAATACCTGTACGACAATCGGGAGAAGGTCGCTGACACCGGTAACTTCAAAGATGTAACATACAATGGTGCTGCAGAGGCTATTGCTGCGCACCTGCAGCAGGGTCCACAGAAGACTGGAACGATGTGCAAGACGAAATGGGGAGCAGTAAGTCATATACCAATATATCGCTTAGATATAGACTGATTAGATATTGTATAGTTAAAACAGATCTATAACGCTATTCAGAAGTATCGCCAGACGTCTGGTGTCCACTGGGATAATGTCAGAGGAGCCAATATCATGAGCGAGGGTGCAACCACGGTATGGAACGAATATATTACAAAGAAGGTATGTCCGGTTCACAGTGTCATCTACATTTTGTACTGGTAGCTTACTGTTTTATATCTAGGGAAATTCGCACATGCGCCCTTTTCGTGTATCGGGATGGAGATACTTTGAGCAAATGGATGATATCATACCAAAAAACAGTGGCGCGCGAGGGCGTACCGGGTACCAACCGCATACAGCTCCCCCTCCCTTAAGCTCAAGCTCCAGCGCTAGCATACCAGCAGCTGAAAATCATACCATGGGCGCCACCATTGCTACTTCTAGTGTCAGTGCCGCTCCTGCTGGTCCCAGCGCCACCCCTGCAGTAGTTGCCCCTACTTCTATTCCTACTTCTCGATGTCCCGCCTCTATTGACAGCAATAACACCCTTTCCACATCCTTAGTATCTCGGCCTAGCTCCAAACGCTCTCACTCTGACATGGTTCAAGAGTCGACTACCTCACTTCCTTCTACCTCGGTTTCTATGCGAGACGAAGACCCTCAGATGCCGCTGCCTCCCTCTAAGCCAGGCTCTCTCAAAAGAGCAAAGACAACATCAGGCCGTGCACAGACTCGGAGCGGTGCCACTGGGGGTAGTGGTACAGCGGATGTCAAGATGTCGAAGACCACCACTGCTGTAGCTGTGATGGGGTTCCAGAGCTCCGTTAACCGCCTAACAGATGTGATTTCTGAGCACATGGTCTATCCCGAGGATCGGGTGATGGACCAGCGCTCAAGGGCCATGCAGATGTTGCAGGTTGATGATGCTGACTTGCCATTCACGGAGCGGCTTATGATG